CCGGTCGTGACCGTTTGAATTATGATGATCCGCCTTATAGGAAATTCAATTTTCTTTCGGACCAGAACTTTTGGGCTTATGGAGAGGCGGCAGGATGCATAATAAGACGGTGAATAATTTCGTGTGATTTAGGGTTGGATATTTTGCTTGTATGTCAATACGTGTTTTTGCGGAGAATTTGCAAGTTTCTGTTTTCTTTTGCTCTCACCGAAACGATTCAACAAATACGCTTCATGTACGAGCGCTTTCTGGACTTTTCTGTATATTTTGCACATATATAGTGAATGTACCCATAATTTGTCGGCCACGACCAACAATGCATCAACTTCGAGAATGTTTCAATACAATGGAGATTATACGTATAAATTTCCTTGACCTTGAAAAAAAAACACATCAATATTGAAGATCTACTCAATTAATTAAACTTTTAGATGAATTTCGATTAGGGCCGATAAAAATATGTATAAATGTGCGAAACAATTGCCAAGTAGCATTTTTTTTTCTAACTATAACTTCAGTTTTAGACAGTTGGAAAAGCAAATTCAAAGATAGATTGTAATCGCCTATTCAAGCGAAAAAGAAATCGACTATTTTATTTCTTGTTAAACCAAATTTGTTATATACAAGGTCACAATAAAACCATTTTAAAGTGATGGCAATTAAATCAATTCATACCACAAATCTTAAATCAAAATTATTCAATCAATAATCTTGGTCAATGAAAATTATACACAAGAAATCACAAATTTCACTAAAATAGATTGGAATTATATATACAGATAGAAAATGTGTATTAAAGTTTTTAGAATTTATTGGTTACTATGAAAAAAATGAAAGAAAACCAAATTAGTACTATACAAGGTCAAAATGAAACCATGCTAAGCCTGTGGCAATCCATTGAATTCAATGGAAATCTAACATCCAAATCATTTCAAACTTATAGACGCCACATGATTCACTACAACAATATTTTATTTTATTCTTTTTTAATCTTCATATTAATACCAGATATACACAGATGTATATAAATTATATATTAATGTTATTTTTTCTTGTAAAAGTTTATTTTTAAATTATAATTATAAAATGATTATACTTATAATATCATTTATTTTAGGCAATGCAATATAGTACGTTTGCCTCAGTAACATTGAACCCTTCTATTTATATATTTTTAACTAATGTGATCATATTTACTAATAGAAAATATTTCTTGTTAATTTTAAAAAGTAATAATGCGTAGCGTGCGTAATGTATGTGGAATCAGTTGAACTTTGGCGACGGAAACAGAGATTTTGAGTAATGGGTCTCAATACTTGTCGTCCCGCGCTATTAATCTTCCTCGAGCTAAAATTTCATACTAGATAAATCGAGAGGTCTAATTGCTGGGGACAGGGGCGGTCGCGTGCTCCGGTCAAATGTGAACGAAAATGTATGTAGTTCGGGGACATTATGTGGTAAAATGGTCCATGGAGATGGGGAAAGCAGGTCTTCATAGAGGTCAGATGATGATGGTGTTTTATGGGGTTAGAAGCTAAAACTAGTATTGAATCTTACACATTTCCTCGCCGAGGACCCAGACTTCCGGTCGCGAGTTGACCTCGATGAGGACCGTTGGGGTGCAGACGAGCAGCACCATGAGATCGGCCACGCTGAGGTTGACCAGGAAGATGTTGGTGCTGTTCCGCATGTCCTTAGTCTTAAAGATGACGATGGGCACCATTATGTTGCCGACCACCCCAAGACACATGATCAGGATGCAGAAGACCATTGACGTAGTGCGAATGTAACTGGGGAAGGCCGGACCGCCGCCGCCGCCGATGCCCGCGAACGTATCATTACCGCCTATTGTCAAATTGGATGAATAGGATGAGGAGGCCGATGAGGAGGAACCGGCGACGGCCGCGATGCTAGCATTGAAGAAGTAATCGAGGGCCGCGTCGGCGGCAGCCGGTCCGGTGCAATTCAACGCGGACAGGAAAGTGGACGCCGTGCTTGTTACCGTTATAGTTGAAATCATATCATCGGCCCATCTTCTTGGCTTCGCCCCAGGCCCAGCTTTTGCTTCTGCTGCTGCCGCCTCACTCTTTCGCGCCGTCCGATCAACGCACTACACATAATCACCGGCGTCCTCTTCGCCGGATGCCGGAGGAACGCGCAAACTGTGAATGGATGGATGTCGAGCACTCTACTTGCACCGCTTTGGTTCGTCCTCTTCGCAGCAAGAGGCGAACATGTTTTGCGTAAGATACGCTGACTTCGTCGTCCTCTCGCGACTGTCGTCCGTCCGGCCGATGGTCGAGGAGGTCTCGATGAGCGCGTGTTTGCCGCGGAACTGTCGCGCGTTTAACTCTCGACTCACTCTCGGCGCCGCCACTCGTAGACCCCCAAGACAACACCAGACGTGGGTGGGCCATGCGCGACACCTCATCATCCCAAAACAATCGCAAATTCTTCTTAGAAAACCTTGCTCGAACTATACTTATCTATAATTCGTTATAGAGCACCTAGTTTTCGTATATCCACGAAAACATGATTGTTCACAGAATAACCCGGAAACATGTAATCGCACTGTGGAATTCAATATTTTAAAACTGTTATATAAATAAAACACGTCTTGATTTTAGCGAATTTCTTAGTAAACTAAAATTAACAGAATCAATCCAAGGACTCTAGCAGTCTAGATTATTGCAAGGATTGTGAAATACGCGGTTTTCTTTTATAACTAATTTAGTATCACATTGTTTTATAAACAATAATAAAGTATAAGGAGAATATTATAATTTATTTAGAAATCTTCATTGGATAAACGTCCTAAGCCTTTCTATCCTATTATATTGTAGTATACAGTCACACCTCCGATAACGAAGCTTCGAAAATTCAAGCCCCATTTAAATGACATAGAAAACGTTTCAAATTTCTTTAGTAAAAAAGATCCTGATTTAAGAAGAAGCGTTATTAATATGTGATCGATTAGATTAACAAATAGGATGCGTTTCATACAAATATTCCGTTTTCACAGGTACTTATAGTAAAAAAAAACAGAATTTTTCGTGAAGAAAATATGTTTATTCGAACAAAGAAAAGTTTTATTATATACACATTTTAAAATATTGATTGTTTATGCTTGTTCTCTGTTTCCTTTAGTATTTGCCTATATAGAGTTAATAGAATTAACACTGAATGCTTAACAATAATACTACTTCCTAAATTAAGATCATTTGTTGATCACCAAAAAATTAAACGTTTTCAATGTTTAAGCACTATTTAATTATTTGGTTGTTATCATCAAAACACATCTTCTTCTCCATTCAATAAATTTCTAACATGATACCTATTGGTTCAGACACATTTATAATTTTCTAGTGGATTTTTTTTTATATTAAATGAGGCTAGTTATAATTTGAATTATAAAAATGTATATATTTTGTTTACTTTTTTGACAATTGCAATAAATTGTATTAATATTATTATCAAAAGTTTTACCAACAAATTAGGGATATTTTAACATCTTGTAATTAACGTAAGATTTTTAACTATCTTCATAACAATTATATTTTATTTACAAAGTTTTTAAAAAATCAAAATGTACACATTCATATTTTTCTAATAATAATAATTTATTGGCCAAACGTTAATAAGAAGAAAAAAGAAAGTACAATTTATACATAAATAAATATTAACATATAATAAAAATATATATCAATAGGCTGGCCGAAGGGCATATTTTTCTAAATTTCTCGATAAGTTATTTACAAAACTTATTTTATAAAGTCTAATTTACTACTTAAAGTGTAGTTTAACTATCTTATAATTCTATTGACAAATCATTCAAATGATCTAGATTTTATAATCTTTATGGACTTCAGTCCATCCAATCAAAGGACTCCCAAATATTGTTGCCTACATAATGCGAGTGTTTTGGCTTTCTAGAATTTTTAGCCCTCCACCCCGTCGTCATGAAAAACATATTTCAATGAAAATTCAAACAATAAACAAAGTACATGTAAATCTTATGTAATTATTTAGGGAATTATTATAACATTCTTTTTTTAAATGACTTACAAAATTAATTGCATCAAACAATACTTTTTATTTTATATTGAATTCCTATATAAGCAATGAAGATATTTAGAAAGCTAGAAATCATTATACTACATATTGTTTTTTATGGATTTCAACAAAATTTTAAAAAATCAAATACAGTGGAACCTCGCTTAACGAGCATAATCCGTTCCAAAGTTTCCTGATTTTTACTCGTATAGTGAAACATTTTTTCCATATAAACTAATGTAATATACGATAATGCGTTCCATTTTACGAATCATTTTTCTTACAATTTATTTTATTTATTAAGGGAAATGCTTGTTAAGCGAGGTTCCACTATACTTATTTAACAGTTCAGTGGAACCTCGCTTAACGAGAACGTAACCCGAACGACAGTCATCGAACATCTATGTATTAATTTATTTACCGCGACAATCGTTCTTAACTTTTTGTAAGCAGGGAAATATAAAGTGAAACTCTCTTAATTGCATCTAGAAAGTAAGCATTAACTATATTATATTATTTATTATTTTGTTAATTAAAAGAAAAAAACAGAAACTTTATTTAAATAAGTGAAAAAGAGATATTAATGATAAATAAAGCAGTAACACTAGATTCATGTCTGTCAATGTTTTGGAAACAGAGATAATAGACAACTAAAGTAACATTTCTTTATCATTACGCACTATTTCTGGCAGCTACTAGTACTTATTAACAACGGTTGTTTTTTTTTATATGAATCACCCTGTATAATAAATAAACATATACCGCCTTTCTTAATTGCGTGTAATGTTGGTTGCCTTTTATAATTATTTTAGTTTTAGATGTTATTATTTTATTATATACTATTATGTAAGATTTTTAGTCTTATTTAATGATTTTTTTTTAATTTAATGCGAAAACTTGAATATTATAATAGTTTGTTTTATAGTTTCTGGTAGGTCCTCTATTGGCGATCGCGAAAGTTGATGACGTTCGATGTTAAAATTTGGGAAGCTCGGGAGGGAGCTTTGTGGACGAAGCTTCGATATGATTATTCAACGTTAAGGATGTGTTAAACATGGACATTGCAGAGCAGCAAGTTGATCCGAACAGGAAGATTACTGTGGACGAATTGAACTCCGACATTTTGCCAGTGATTTACGAAATTATTAGAAGGTTAGTTTAAAGTGACAATATATAAATAAAAATAAGTCCCTATCAGTGCCAAACCATATTTACGCGTTTGTTTCAGCATTGAAAAGGATCACCACGATAACACCGTAAAAACACGTGAATCCCAAGACTGTTCTCTCAGGGTGCTTGAACTTCAGAAAAGGCTTGAACAAGTCAGATCGGAGGTAATTTCCAAACATATTTTGATTATCATGAGATTAATCATATTATTTTCACTTCAGATTAAACTCCTGCCTGGTATAGAGTTTAGCAAAGAACAGCAGCTGAGCAATTTGGAGTCACTAAAAACCCAGCTGAAGTTGAAGCAGAAATTATTACAGAAATACAGATTCCTAGTGTTTGATGTGCAGCAGTCCTAAGAATGGTGTTACGTTTGATTCTTAGATATTTGGCAAATAATGAACAGTTGGTACAGAAACTGAGTGAGTCTTATCCCATTCAGAGAGCAGCCAGGGCAGTGGCAAATGTAATAACCAAAGGAAAGAGTGTTGCGGAAGAGCAGGATCTCAAAAAGAAATTAAACCCTCTCCAGTTATTTGCCAGACTTCGTCGATTTACTGATAATATCAAAAAAGAAATTGAGGAGGCTAAGGAAGAATTGAACCGCAAAAAGAAATAATATATTGATTTTTAAAATGTCTTCAGTAGTTTATATGGATTTTGATGATGAAGATGAAGAGTACAAGATGAAACAGGAAGTTTTGTTCAAAGTTGAACCTAAGGAGTTATTCAATAGGATTCTCTTATCATTTATCCCACCTGTAGGGAGGTTTTCAAGAGTTTACTCAGACCTCCTGGGCCCTCTTTTAGCAGTATGCGCTATGGTATTTCTCTTAAATGCGGGATACTTGTTCAAACCTAACAATATTTTGCTTTCTCCCAATGGCTTCATGTGTATTTATATATCAACGATGATCATAATCATGTATCTGACCTTACGTTTTCACCCAAACCACCTGGACTTCGTTCAATTGATTTCGCTGGCCGGATATTCCCTGTATGGTCATATCCTGGCCATAGGGTTACCCTTCCTCTTCTTTCCGGACAACAGATTCTTTTTCTTATGTTTAATAATTTTCGGCGGATCCAGTACTTTCAAACCGATCATAGCATTCAATAGAATCTTTCACGCTCCCGTTTTCAGGCTACTGATCGGCACCATCTTCGGTCTGATCCAGTTGCTGGCCATCCTCTTTACCCATCTCGCTTATATGCATCCAACGTTCATCTATGGTGGAAATGTGGAAGCGGTTTAGAAAATACATAGTCAAAGAAAGGTGATGTATGAGTGTATAAAATTTTCTTTCTTTGTTTATATGTCGAAATAAAACATGTTTTAAAAATTACTTTTGTGTTTTATGTCTTAAAGACTAAATTTTGGGAGGGTTCGCGATTATCATCGTTTTAACGGTTGATGGTTTGTATTTTATTGTACTTTAGTTCTCGACGTTTGCTGGCTGATGAGGTCGATTCCGCTAAGATCCACGGTCACCTTGTTGGCTACGTTGTTCGATCTGCCGCGACCGCCACGCTTTCCTCGTCCCCTCTTGTTTTGCTGCGAGCGCTGCTGATCAACAACCTCCGGATTGTTCTCATTGTTATTGCTATTCTCGTTTGATGTTTCGGCCGACTGCTGTAATATAATATCATTAACAAACTAATGGGTTAATAATACTTTTAGGGTGGTGCAACCTGCTGATGTGATTGGTGCGTGTGTCCAGATGATTGGTTGTGGTGATTGAACCTTTGATGATTGTGATGATGCTGCTTAGCCAATTTCGCCCTCGCGCTCTGAGCTGCAGCGTTGTTTTGCGCTAAAATTCTGACCACATTGCCTACGGCTTTCGTCCGACCTTCTCTGAAGACCATCCTCTGGCCCGGGGTCATGTATTCCGGATACTTGATAAACCTAAAGTGGATAGTTGCTTTGTCCCCCGTCCTCAAACACTCCTGAGACATTGACAGGATGCTAGCAGTTTGCCGGATGCTACCGCAATGTACTACAATTTTTTTAAATCAATATCAGACAACTTAAACATCCCGACCTGTTTTACCCATAGCCTGATAACGCGAGCTGATTGTGGTTGGATGATGCAACACCAAGATCTCGCCCTCGAATTCCCAACAGGCTTGTGGATTCAATACCGGCGATACCATAACCATGCCCTTGCGAATCTGCGACCTCTTGATCTTCTTCAAAGCGAAACTAGCCGTTTGGCCGGCTCTCACCTCTTTCACTACCATCCTTTTCCTGTGTATGCTCTTCACCGCTATTGGTTGAAAATGACCCAGAGGATCCGGTCCCAGCATAAGCGTGTCATTCAATCGGATAACTCCTTTGAGCGTTGTACCAGAAACCACTGTACCAACTCCCTTTATAATAAAAAAAGATATACAAAATTATTAATATAAAATTGATGAATCAACATGCAGTATCATTGCGTCATTTTATAATTTTGTAATAGGAATCATCAATTGTGCAACCCGCATTAAGCAATATTGCATCATTAAGATGATAACTTACAGGTACTGAATAAGTGTCATCAATTTGAAACTCGGCTGGTTCGTTCTCTTGGTACTCTGTTCTGGTCGTTAACAAATTCAGGAAAGTTTTCAGCAAGTCTAAGTTCTCGCCTGTCACATTTGAGACTTGGAAGATTGGACATAATCTACGAATTCAATATAAATGATATATATTCGCATCTGATTTATTTCGATTAATCACCTTTCGGAAACGAAGTTTGTAGCGCTTAGCACCACGTCGTCTGTGCTTTTTACCATCACTGGTACTTTTCTGCAGCCTGGAGATTTAAGTATCCGCACCAGCATTTTTAAGTTGTTCTGCAAGATGTTGGCTGGGCACATGTCGATTTTCGTTACCACCACAAATACTGGTACTGATAATGCTAGAGCAAGCCCCAGATGTTCCTTAGTCATACCGATTATTCCCGCGTTCGCTCCGACCATAAGCATACCAAAATCAGGGGCATGTCCAGTCATTCCAAAGACTGTGGTCTTTAAGTACCTCTCATGACCAGCCAAGTCAATAAAAGTAATAACCTTTGAGCTTCTCTCACAGATTTTCACCCAATCCAGAGAGCCATGCTCTGGCCTATTCACAACTGAACCCTGGTCATCAAAACCTAAGATATCATTTCCCACTGAGCTGGTTCGGCCTGATTCCATTTCATGTTTATGTCTGAACAACCTCTGCCTGGCATGGCCTCTACCATTATCCAGATCTCCATGGGTCAGGACACCTAGCAGTGTGGACTTGCCAGCATCCACATTACCCACAACAGCCACACGAATTTCAAGGAAATCACTTTCCCCCAAGACCCTGCGAATCAGATACTGAACCAATACACCTCTACCCTCCTTTCTCTCCCGTAATTTAACACAGCTACATTCCAGGGTGGCGGAAAGGGATTGTAGGGTGGCCACAGCTGCCTCCAACTCATCCTCTTTCAAACCGCTGTCGTCGCCATCCTCAGCGCCGCCTATCTGTGGGCGAACCAAACAAAAATAAAAATAAATACTGTGCCCATCATATGGAGAACAAAGAAAGCAAAAACAAACCTCCAAAATAACTTCCCCTCTGCCCTCACCAAGCTGCTGCTTTATTCTCCTAAGCAGCAACTCATATTGTTCCTCGGAGGGGCTGATTAGGATGGATCTTCCGAGGATTTGATCGAACTCGTACGCGGAGCCCTTTTGCGATTTATCCGCGAAAGTGCTCAGCGCTTCTTTGTTATCGCCCTCGTTCATTGTTACTACTGTTCGAAGACTAATTCAAACCCGTAGCAACAACAACATTTTATGTATAAACACAATTGTTTTACACAATATTGCAACTAGATTTCGTTCACGAAACTAAGTCACCCGCGGGAGGGAAAGTCTACTCCTGTTGATTTTTTCTCTTTCGTTTACTTCTCACTCGCACTCTCTCTCCCTTTCTTCGAGAATTACCGTGTCTACGTAATCACTTCTATTGCTCCTGATGAGCGATAGACTACTGCTCACTACTGCTGATTTTATGTCGATTAATTGCTAAAGCTCGGCGGTATTTTTGTAACTGTCAGTGAGCTAAAAAATAACAGAAAACAATCGCTATTTTAAGGATCTGTGTATTTGATTGCGCGCCATCTTGAGCGCGACTTCACAAAACAATGCGACCCAGCTGATTGATTGTGTAACATAATTAAGCGGGTTCACGATAGTTTGAATGCATTGTTTGAAAGTTGGTTGGTGTATATGCCGTTATACCGTTATCCTATTGTATGTTTGGATAATTTACTTAAGCTATTTGCTTAATTTGAAAGAAAAAGTAGGCGCGCCGCATTAGATTGCCAACTAAGATATAAAAAGATAAGATTAATTGGGTTGCAACTTATGGAGATTGGGTTCAATGGTTATGTTATTTGTTCGACTGGGAACAACTAGAAGTTGTAATCTTCAAGAAATAAATTTGAATAAACGAAGAATTTTGTTCTTGGCAAACTTTTCTTTTTTATGGTTGGTAGTTGTGGTCGGAGCTGTGCAGTTTTTGTGTTGGTAGGATCAGTGGTCGGCGGTGTTCGCGAACCTGTCAATCGTGTGGAAATGTCGTCACCGTGTTTGCCGTGAGCAGCGGAGAGAGAGACCACACCACACATGTGTGATAATTCGCGAAAAGTGTCCGAGCCCGAAAAGCGCGACCCCCCGAAACCGTCACCTTATCTCCAGCCTTGAGATATGAGCCGCGTCCTGGACACCTGAGAGTCGTCCGTGCAGTGGCTCGTGCCCAGTTTTCATACACCTGTGTGCCTGCTCTGCATATACACACATTCAGGAGGAGAGAGGAGAAGAACTTGGATTTCCCACCCTTGAGAAAGGTCGTATCAGCAACAATACGACACACCAATTGCCTGGGGGTACAAGATCTTGGGAACAACTGTAGCACCAGCGACAACAGCGAAGGTCGAAGATGAGAACGGGGTTGGAGTCCACACCCTAACGACGATACCGTGCTGTAAAAGTAAGTATATGGCAAGAGGAGTGTTAACAATCCAAAAAAGAAAGAAAACTGCCTTTTATTGGCAATCAACCAAGTGGATAAGTAGCTTAGAGCCCCAGCAAAACCACCAGAATACTTGGAATTCACAACAGAACCATACTTCAGAGTTTTTGACACAATTCAAAACACCTGTCACCTGGGTTGATTCACCTTTACTTCCAACCATCGAGGAGAAGGAGGAGGTGGATGAGATCCTCCCAATTGTTATTCGTGTGGCGCCCTCATTTGATCCCATCCCAAATTCTTGCACCAGTTCTACTTTGAAAATAGAATCGTTCTATTTTTATTTGTTTTAACATTTCTCTTTATCTCTCTCCCTGAAGATGTTACATTCTTCTACCATTCATATGTCAGAGACAGTGACAGCAATCAGCACACTTACAAAGGAAGAAGAGTGTGAGACAGAGAAAGAGAGACTTCTCAAGCACACATACCATGAACACCCATGGAATGTTTTTATAGACCAATGTCCAGAATGCGAAGCAGAGGTTGAATTTTAAATTTCCTCACCATTTGAATGTATCCGCATAATCACGTTTTAATTTTAGACCGATTTGTCATTTATTTATTCGGAAATCGTCGCGACGATCGCAACGCATCTATCGGCGCGCATTTAATTACGGTTCATGCCACTTGTGTTGCCTAGACATATCAATTGCATAATATGATTCATTACGTGATAATTTGAAAATGCGAAAATTAAATAATAAAATATAATAAATAGTATATATTTTTTCGACAAATTCATTGTTTTTTCTATATTTAAATTAAATATAGAAAACCTATTTTTACAGACGACAGAATATTAACAAATAATAATAAACATAATTTATTTCATATATGCTCCAAAAAATAACGATTTTCTACATTTGCAGATATTCTTAAATAGGTTTCTTTGAAATTTAATAATTAGAAATTTGAAGGTAATAGAGCGTAAATTAAATTTACCATTAATTAAGTAATTAGGCATATTTTTGCAATAGTTGTGAATATTATTCATAATAATTTAACTTAACTATTTAACTTTTAGCTATATAATATTACATGGATGAAAAATATAATATTTATTATTTTATTAGTTTTATGAATAAAAATACAAGAGTACATTATTCAATTTATTTAACTGTCCATTTGTCGTGCTCAATTTTGTAATGTTGTTGCTATTGAATGTGGTATTATACAGTATTATCTGTGCTTATGTGTTTTTATTTGATTTGTTGTCCTCTAGGTGTTCCTCATCCCCTTAGTGTGCAGTCAGTCTTACGTGAACGACGAGTTCGCGTGTTGTTATTGTGTGTCCGTCCAGCTTAATTGTAACACCATCAATAAATCCCTTTGCAAAGTGGAGTTATAACACCAGGTTCGAGTTAAAGAAAGCCAGCAAAAGTACACAACACTGTGTTTGGCACCAACGAGATGGACAGCGGAGGCGGCCGTAGAAGAGTGGCAGCGAAGTCGTCCGCCGAAGACCAGGCGCTGGATCTAATCGCTAAGGAGGTAATGTAATCAACCCTTTTACAGGCCAATAGGAAAGTACGCTCGTTACATCTGCTAGTGTTTACATCTTAGCTTTGTCGAGGATGATCGCACTAGGACTTAGGTAGGGACTTCATATTCTGCGAAAGAAACCCAAAGAAATTAACGGTCACGTGCTGTTGCACTTCCGTCCCCGTCTATTAATAGTATGTAGAGCGGGGCGCGCGCTCGACTCCGCGTTCGAATTAAATTCAAAATAGCGCAATGCACGTTTCCCCTCAGGTTTTGTGCGAACGCGCAAGTATCTTCATCATTTTTTTTCATCGTGAGTGGTGAGTGATGAGACATACGAAGGAAATGAGCGGTAGGCGGGATCCCCTTTCGCTGCAGAGTGAGTAAAAGCGGAAGGAAGTCGGGTGGTTCGAGGGGGAGCCAGAAATAAAACTTTTGGTCTTTTATATTTAAACTTACTGCCACGCGTCCTTTTTTTTGTTTATTTTTTTTTCGTCCGGTTCTCCTATGCAATTCCATCAATCTAATCTATTTGTAGAATATCGAGAGAAAAATGACCAATTCTGTCTTTATAGAATATTCTAAATGCTTCTTTAAACAACCATGACTTTCTATTGGTACTTTCAATTCGATCAGAAATATTTATAGACATAAACATTTGCTTCCATTCAATATGCAGAAAATACATATGAAAATACATATGTTGCTTGCAAAATCAATATATCCGACTCTATTGTACAATGCTCATTAATCTGAAGAGCACGTTGCATGGAAGTCATACTTTTAAGTGGATTAACGTTGCAGTGGTGTTTTTGTTGTGTAAAATCAAGTTTGTATGTAATTTGCACTGAAGGAGATTGCTATAGCGTAGATATCTTTATTTACTGTTTCATTCCTAGAGTTTGTTAATGTCATCAGTGATCAGTTTTAATATCAAAAGTATTTTTGATAGCAATAGTTTTAAGTTAAACTACTTGCATTTACTGAATATTGTTGCTATTATTGAATCACAATTGCTTCAAGGGTGGTAATATTCATATAGTACCTATTTCCTGGTTTGAGTGAGTGAGAGATTTGGATGAATAGGATGTACGGAGAGGAGGATGTATGATGGGGGAAGTGAAAAAAAAATAGGTGGATAATAGTAGATATGTCTAGTCTAGTTTGTGGTAAAGTAACCCCGCGGTTATTTTAGGAGAATGAACTCGGTTGTATATATAAGTGCATATAGCGCCATGCATTCGGATGGATGTGCGAGGGGGTTTTCTGACGGTATTTATATATATGAATAGCATAGTTGAGCGTCTCCGCAGTCGCGTCAAATCCTTCCTTCTGTTTGCTCGTATTAAACAATTTCTCCAGTTACGTGCGATTGTTGTGTGCGTGTTTTGTTTGTCTTTCATTTAACGTCGCGACAAAAGATGACCATCATTATACACTGATCCTACTATCTCGGTTGTTGCAACGGCGGTTTTCGGGAAGGGAGGACTTTCGAAAAGATTTGGGTGGACACGTAGGAAGAAATAATGGTGGCCGCTCCCCGTCTTCTCACCATGGACAATCCCAAATGGGATCTGGTCATGCGGTCCACGAAGATGTTGTCGTGTGGATCGTTGGCCGACTGTCTTCTGCCCGCTCGACGTCTCTCCGGATACGATTTCCTCGGCGCCGCCATCCAACGCGTTCCCCTTGCTACAATTGCTCTGCAGTCAAAGAAATCCGTGAGTCTCATAATGGTTTTCAAATATTTCGCGCTTATCGATATCAGAGTAAGCGTAGCGGGGCCTGCGTGTATGTTAGAATGGAAAAAAAAGATATATATATGTTAGTTTTAATCGCAACAGATATGGAATGCCACCACAAACATGCGATAAAAGCCTAATCACTTTGCGGGAAGGTAACCTTTCACTATTAAATACATAGTCGCGCGACGAGTTATGTTTTCGTGGTTAGCCAGTTAGTTTAGTACTTTGAAGACCTCTTCATTTGGTGGGAAACGTGTAAAGAGAGAAAACGAGGAAGAAGCAGAGTGGCGGCATTCCGCGGCGATGATGTCAGAGGATACCGGTTTGAGTACTAGGTACAGCTCGAGCGGCAGTTGCGATTCAATCGCAGACATCCTCAACCAGCTGAACCCCTCCTACGGTGATGATGCTGCGATCAAAGTCGATGATGCTGTTGCTGCAGATGACGTTGATGATGCTATTGCCGTAGATGACGAAGACGATAAAAATGTTGCTGCCGTCAGCACGCCGAGGAGGCAGGACAGTGGTTACGATAAGAGCATTGATAAGATTGTCGTGGATGATGCGGCGACGGCGGTCGTACCTTCGGCTCCCGTGGAGGGCGATGCTATAAACCAATTTCTGAACAGCGAAAATGATTCCGTAATACAACGTTTTCTCGCAGTTTATTTTATGTGTTGTGCGCGTACTTTTTGCTAAATGTCGTTATTGCTTTTGCAGGCAGAGGCGCGGCTCCTGGCACGAAGGGCGGCGAGAGCTGAGGCACGAGAGATTCGGATGAGAGACCTGGAAAGGCAACAACGCGAGCAGGAGGAAAATGCTGATAAGCAATTCGATATGCTTGCGGAGCCGATGATCCGAAGAACTAACAGCAACACCTCCAGGTACTTGTCCAGCCGAAGATCCTCCGAGGACTCGCTGGAGGACACCGGTAGCTTACGAGATCTTAGGGTATGTTTGTGTTTATTTATATTTATAAGTATGTTCTCGTTCGTGCGTGCGGTACAAACAACTATTCCACTGTGAATTTTTTATTTGGCTGTCGTCGCAGTGTCGCAATGCTATCCAACGTGATAATACAACATTTAACCTTGCAGCATGAACTCAAGGAGGTCGAGGAGAAGTTCCGCAAAGCGATGATTGCCAATGCTCAGCTGGACAACGACAAGGCGGCCCAGACATATCAATTGGAACTCCTCAAAGACAGGTTCGTGAGTTCTTCAATTTTAATCAATTATAACTAAACTAGTGAAAACCTCGTAGGTTGGAGGAGCTGGAGGAGGAATGTTCGCAGTTGAAGCGGGAGCACAGGGACAAGTGTAGGGATTTCGAGCAACTGAAGCGGTTAACGACGCGGCTGAAGGAAGACCTGGCCGTGGCGCGGGCTGAACTGGAAGAACGCGACAGACTGATTTCCGAGAAAGGTCTGGTGATTATCGCTGAGGAAGAGTCGGTCAACGGCGGTGAGGAGACCACGGATGGCATTTCCAATGGCCAGACGAGGCTAAGGAAGGCGCTAGTCAGTGCGGAGAATGCTCACCTATTGGAACACGCAGGCGAAGGCAGTCTAGGTAAATATTTCTCAATCAAACTTATTTTTTGTAAACGTGCTAAATATGTGAATTTGCTTGTAGATGTACGGTTGGGAAAGTTTGCGAAAGAACGTTGCGAGCTCCAGGATCAGATTAGTCATTTAAAGCTGGAGCTGGAGGAGGAGAAGACCAAGAGGCGGAAGCATAGTAGTGTTGGTGGTAGTGGCGGCACCAGCGGCAGTGGATTAGGAACGACGCCCAACGGACCCAATTACGATTCCGATTTGGAGGCTGCTGACATTCAAAGTAAGCTGCAACATTTTATAATATTCAGTATATCTAATAATAAATGAAATCATCGTATCAAAGGGGAGGCCTCTAAACAGTTGGCCGAGTTCAAGTTCAGAGCCCAGAAAGCGGAACAGGATGTAGCCACCTTGCAGGCGACGGTGGCGCGCCTCGAAAGCCAAGTGATTCGCTACAAGTCTTCGGCGGAGGTATCGGAAAAATCCGAGGAGGCTCTCAAACTAGAAAAGAGGAAATTGCAACGCGAGGTCAGTATCATTCTTAATCTATTAGTTTTTAAATTAATGAGAGAGTTTACTCGTAGCTCAAAAAGTTTAAGATCCTATAAGCTTCTTCTATAATTTTACTCAATTGCATTATTAATACCTAATCCAACGCTTAATTATTATTATGATTTTTTTTGTTTCTTTTGCACCTACTTGCAGGGCACCCTAAGTAGTTGTAGTAGCTTAGACGATGATACCAATAGCGATAGTGATTAGTAAAGCAAATAGCTAAACATAATTAAAAGTAGTGCAGAGAAAGAGAGTGAGTGTACTTTGAGGCAAATGAATAAACACGGAAAAGGTCAGGCCTGTGAAATACATTAATAATTACATAAATAACCGTGATTGTCCCTCGTACTTCTTAAGCTCGGAGCAAATTTTTTATTTCGTTTTTAGTCTTTTTGTATCCACGTTTGTATGCGTTCATTCATTTGACCTCCTGTCCGTTATATTGATGTTATCTTTCTCTATTTTGTTTCCCTTTTCTCTATTGTTTTTGTTGTTGGTGGTGAAATGTCTTGTGTAGGTTAGTAATTTAAACCAATTGATGCTCGTGACGGAGGCCTCAAGGTCCGCACTGACCGAGCATTGCAAACGGCTGCGGCGCAAATCTTTGGGACTTCTTCCATTCTATTAAGTTAGTTCAGCAACAACTGTTTTTTTTTGTTTATATTTGTTTCTAATTTCAATTCTTTATTTTCTTTGAGCCGCATGCTTTACGTTACTTCTTCCATAACTTGAGTCTCGATGACTCCGTGCGTAATTGATTCTTTGAATCAAGCGAGCGCGGTTGTCGGGACTCTGAATCAAATTACATCTTCATTAACCACAAGCGTTATTTCACTTCTATGTTATTAATCACCGTCTTGTGCCAGCGTTTTTGATTTCTTGTTGTTGATGTTGCTGCCTGTATACATGCCTTCGTATCATCACTGTGTTATTTAATGTATTTTCTTCGTGTGTTCTCTGTAGGCGAGGGAGGCGCAGAACAGGGCCGAGGAATTGGAGCTGTCCAACACGCATCTGCTCAAGCGATTAGATAAGTTAAAGAATGCAAAGTCGGCGCTGCTTAAGGAACTTTGACAATCAACGAACACTTAGTGCGGTCTCAATTAGTTCTTAACCAATTATGGATATATACATATATATGTGTATATACATATATATTTATATATGTTTTACTTAAACCTAATTTATTTTGTATGGATAATAATAATCGATCGAACATTTATGATGAATGATATGCGGCGTCGAAAGATAAGTTGTTATTGAAGGAAGATATTAATCAATTGGCTTAGTTTATTTTGTTTGCTTCTGGCGCTTTTACGGATGGATTTTACGAAAGGGAATAATAATAAGTAATTAAATTGATAAGAATATTTTCTAGATATTCATGTATATATCTATATATATGTACATATATATGTTGGCTGAGATGTTGGTTGTGTAATTCGCGTGTGCCATACAATTTTGTTTTAAATTTTTAATCATTTCCTTGGATTGGCGGATACTTATCATTGATTTTCAAAAGCCACTAAGTATTTATTTCCTGAGGAATTCGACGCTTATTTAATTTATTTTTCCGTTTGGTGATTGAAAACCGATCTGCTAATTGATCCATTTACAGACACTCGCACATATAATATATGTATGTATATATAAATATATAACACAAGATATGTTATATTCTTTTAAAATCGTGATTGATTATATTTTTTATTTTAAAATCTTATTTTATTTTCTTTTGTATTTACGCAAAAAAGGCGTTAATTGGAAAGAAGTGTGCTTGAATTGGGGGGAGGGATTTGCTGCTGCGCCGAAATATGAAGAAGAAAAAAGAATACTTAACATACCTTCTCCTTTCCCCCACGCCGGCGATGATTGTTTTCATTTGTAGAAGAAAAATTGGAGCTGATGATTCGTGTATATGTAGTATAATGATGATGACGTTGTTGATGAGCGGAAGCAAAGAGAAAAGAACAAAAAATATTTCGCGTGTAAATAATAAGTGAACGGGAAAAAAAATGTGATTTTAATTTTATTTATCCCTCACGAAATGAAAGGTAAATAAATAATCCCTAATTATTACTCTTCTATGATATAGTATATATATGTATATTTTTCTTCTTTTCTCTCTCTTTCTTAAGACTTGGACAAATATTGGTAAAGGTGTTTACATACGTAAAAAAAATAAATAAAATAAATGAAAATGTAAAATATATTATATACAATTAACCGAACAACGAGTTTGCGTTTATTTCTCAAGCCTTGTTTAGGTGTTCGCTGAGCCACATGGCCGTGGATATGATGTTGTCCATTTCGTTGGGTACCGTTCCCAAAGGATGATTGTCATCATACAAGTTCAATCTGAAAAAGGATGCCGTTAAGAAAAATAACAATATTTACCCCGGTGCATTTGAATATTAATTACTTTGTGATGATGTTGTTGGATCTGAGACGATGATGGTATTCGATTCCTTGAGAAGGCGGGACACGCAGATCTTTTGTCCCGATCTGTAGGAGGGTTGGCGCTTTAACTTTGTGGACGTGCATTATCGGTGAGCATTTGCGCATCTTCAGGAGAATGTCCTCGTCTATTTCGCCAACCTGCGTATACTCCATGCCGCTTTCAACGTAACACCTGTACAAGAAACGTTAAGATTGTCGGGGTTAACTTTAATTGAGCAATTACCAATCGGGAATGTCGCTTGTGATGCTCATGGAGGCGATGTCAATGACGGGATTGCGGGCGACAACCGCGTGGAACATGTCCGGATACTGTCCGCTGAGATGGGTTACTAGAAAACCACCGTGGGACCCGCCCACTAAAGCCACTCGCTTCTCATCAAGATATGGATATCTGTTCAGTACAGTTTTGGTGGCTAGGACGCAATCGTCCACGTCGGATCGTCCGACTCGTCCCAACAGGAACTTGACGGAAGCAGCTCCGGCGCCGATTGATCCACGATAATTGATCAACACCATTCCGTAACCTGACGCGCACAAACAATTGTTAAAATGCAATAGCAACTGAGGAAACTAAAAAACCTTGGGACAAGAAGAAGCATCCTTCTAGGAACAAGTTGTTGGCATAGGCACTGTGCGGGCCACCGTGAGGCCATACGATCAAAGGTATCTTGGATTCGGCACTCTTCGGTCCTAAATAGATAGCGGTGAAATCTCCTGCCAAACATGAAAATAAAAGAAACCGTCCTTATTCAGCATTTGATTATTACTTATTTCATCGCCGTTCTCCTGTTCCAGCTCTAAATACTCCCACATGTAATTCTCCGAATTCTGAAGACGCTTTGATGCCACTACTTGAGTGACGCTACAATCATTCAAATTTATAGAAACTAGCTCGTCTCTTTGGAAGAAACTGCGCCTGTTCATCAGCAGTTTTGTGCCTCGAACGTCCAATACTAATTGACTCCCATTCGTGTACTCCATCTCAGTTATCTCTTTACTCTCTAAATTGACCAAGTACGAATTTACAGTATTCTTTTGATTTGTGTTCACGGCGATCCTCCCGTCCTGCGTCCAACATCTCGTTGGTAATTTTGGTGTGTAAAAACCATAGAACGATTTGCCCTCAGCAATCTTTACTTCTTTTTCAACCACATCGATGATAACCGTTATGTCGGTCTGTAATAATAACCCACTTGTTTTTATTATCTAACTTTGTAACTGTATACCTACATTATCTCCAGCTAATGGCAGTTTGGCCTGAACCAAAGACATGCAATCGTTGTGCGCTCCTCCATCATTCCTCTGTAGCCAAACTAATTTGCCTCCATCTGGAGAAATCCGTGGAGATTTCACCGATTTACCGGGCAATGGAAGCTCTTTGTACTCTTCATTTACCAGATCCAAACTAAAAATGGAGCTCGTGCGGTTCGTGCAATAGATGAGACCGAGTTTCCTAGGCTTGTTGCTGTACGCCATGCCAAAAATGCTTCTGTCGTCGCTGCCCCAGATTGGTTGTGCGATGGAAACATCTCGTGGTATCGCATCCAGTAGCTCGAACTTGTCCTTCTGCAAGTCATAGATCACCAGCATGGGATACACCTTACCCACCAGTTGCTCTCCCCAATCTTGCTCATACTCCATAGAACGAAACCCATCACCTTCCTTATCCTTGGGCCTCAGATTAATTGCAGTTGCTTTATCCACCTTCCTCTCAGCAACAAACAATAGCTTGTTCTCAGATGGAGAGAATTCAAAACTCGCAAACTCACCTACAAAATACAATCTTATCAATGCTTATTGCACAACAACAAACAATTGCATAATACCATCAGCATAAACTTTTCCATGCAGATCCAAATTGGTCAAATCAATGGATTGCATCAAACTCCCAGCTTCCCAGATCTCAAGATACTGAATGTTGCCCTTGCCATTTTCCATATCTCGAACTACAGCCCTCAATTTTTCACTCGGCGAAATAGTTGATATTACTCTTAATTGAAAACGTTAATCATGTAATTTACAACTAATAAATCATACATACTCATCACTAATATCGCATGGAAAAAAATCACAGAACTTTCCATCTTGTTTCAGAACATGATTCTTCATAAACTTGGTAGTCTTTCCTTTCTCAATATTCCTCTGCGACCAAACTGAAATGATGCTCTGATCAGCATTAATCCTTGCGCTTTGCAACGCAGGCGTTTGGGCAAACGCCTTGTACATATTAATGCACTCATTAGTCTACGATGGAACAAAGTTATTAAAAAAAAACAACCTATTCATGTGAATTACCTTAGTTGAACACATTATGTTGAACTGCTGTACGTTAATAATACTACGTGACTGAGTGCTGACCAATCGAGTGAATAACTTTATCATTAAACAATTAAAAGTAGATAATCAGTTTGTTTCTAAAATTAACATGAATGTTTACCTACTCAGCATAAAAATCTAATACGACAACGAGCACAATAAGTTGCCTATGTAATCGGTATCATTCTAAATGCAAAGTTGGTACAATTTGTTGTCATCAAATCAAACATATTTTTAGCGTGCGTTTATTAACGTTCACTTTTATTTTATTAAGTAAATGTTCTTGTATAATCAACAAAAATGGTAAAATTAACGGCGGAAATTATACAAAACTCTTTTCAGTACATAAACGCTGTAAAAGACCGTGAATTGGATTTACGTGGTATGTAGTATGTTTATTCCTCTGTGGAATCTAATTTTTAGGTTAAATTGTAAATGTGTATTATTTTTTGTTTATTTGTTGCTTAGGTTATAAGATCCCAGAAGTCGAAAATTTGGGAGCCACGGGTGACCAATTTGATACCATCGACTTTTCTGATAATGATATAAGGAAATTAGATGGATTTCCCTACTTGAAGAGATTGAAGTGCCTTTTGTTGAACAATAATCGCATCATGTTAGTTTATTGTATCACTTAATTCTAATACATATTATTAACTTTTTCTATTTCCAGTCGAATTGGTGAGAACTTGGAGGAATACATCCCTAATCTGGAGAGCTTGATTTTAACTGGAAATCAGCTGGAAGAATTAGGAGACATAGATGTATTATCAACTCTACCCAATTTGACTACACTTAGCCTGTTGCACAACCCAATCACAGCTAAACCACACTATAGACTGTACATTGTCCACAAGTTTCCTAATTTGAGGCTTTTAGATTTTCGCAAGATTAGGATGAAGGAAAAGGAGGAAGCGAAAGCGCTATTCAAGAGCAAGAAGGGCAAGGAATTGCAGAAGGAAATCGTTAAACGCGCGAAAACTTTCGTGCCGGGCGCCAACGTACCTAGTATAATTAAGAATGCCGGTAATAATTAATTACATTTATTTTATCTTGATAATATAACTGTTCTCGATTTTAGGATTATCGGAAGAGCACGTTAAGAAAATTAGAGAGGCAATCAGCAATGCCGGTTCACTGGACGAGGTTGAAAGGTTACAGAGGCTGTTGCAAGCAGGCCAGATCCCCGGCGATGATATAGCTACTAATGGTTGTTTTCCTTTATTTCTCATTGAATTCCTTATATTGTATTAATTATGGTTGATTCTAGGTGGACCGCCAGTGGAGCAGATGGAGGTGGAGAACAGCAATTGAGCATTGCTGACAGGTAGAGTATGGATGGGATTTGATTTTTTTTATTTTTGATGTAAAAAATATCCAATATTAAGTTGATAAGAATTTATAATCATTTGTATTTTTTTAAAAAGTTGTACACATGAGTTGTTTTTATATTTTTGTTTCCATACTACTACTACTATCTTAAGTTCATAAGGGTCACGAAGAAGCGATACTGTATTATTTAGGGGTAAAACAATAAAGCGTCAGATTCATTTAAAGTTATTTCTTAATATTTCGACTGCGAAAGCTACGCCGCTGCATAATAACCCAATGATAAGTATGTAAAAGCTGGACTGCAGATCATACAATGTGAACACCACGGGTTGGTTAGTGTCCACACTGTATTTGCTGCTGATCTGCATCGATTTTATCGTCAGTTTGATTATGACGTCTTTGTACCATTTGCGCGGCAGTCCGGCTTCTATCAGTTTATCCAGTATTTTACTCATATCCTGGTAGAACATAGAGTCCCTGTGTACTAGATAGGCGAGCATGTACGTCTGCGGGCACTCATCCACCATGTGTTTGGTCACCTTTTCCTTCTCAATTAAATACATGTACTGTACCTTTGTCTTTCGGGATAGCAACGCCTGATAACTGAAACCTTTCGGCTTTAGGTACAGCTTCCTATCCAGTGATTGGATGTGGGGGTGATTCGATCCTGAGAACGTGTCTCTCAGATTTCTGGAGCTCGTTGATATCAAATATCCGGAGTTGTCCAATTCTTCCAAGGTGTTAATGTTCTTGTAATAACGCGGATTGCGGATTACGTTCACCAGTGACCCTTGAAAGGAGGTGTTCAGCAACAATGTCAAAATCAAGAGTGACACTGCCAAAACACAAAAACATATATTAACACTAAACCTACCTACAATGCATGTATACCTATTTATGACTAACGTATTTCGTATTGGATATGACAATTCTCCAAAAATAATATGAGCAGATTTGAAACCTTTTTTTCAATCAACAGTTTTGATGCATTGGTCATATAAATCAATGTTCTGTAACCTGTGTTGACAATCAGATCACATGATTTAGGTAATGAAAAATGTAATTTTATAACATTAAATTATTTACTAAATATCTACAAAATATTTTTGCAGGTGTAAAAAGCTTGCAGAACGCTGTTTTAAATTAATTACTTTTGGAACTCGATAATAAATTCTTTCTTGACTTGACGTAGTAGTACGAGTTTTGGAAGAGTAATGTAAATCTTTTAAAAGATAAATTGACCGTTGGAATATAGTGGAAATATTAAAACTTGTTCTAGACCTGCAATATCACAACGAACCTTGACGAGTTTAATCAGTTTCAAAATTTCCGGATTTTTACTCGTATAGTGAAACATATTCAAAAATACACATAATATGTGTACACAAGTTTTAAAAATGATGTAGAAGGCGCGCAAACCGGGACTTCTCATCGTCACTCATGCGAAACGTCGATCGTTAAGCGAGTCATATTTCTTACAATTAATTTTGCTTGTTATGCGAAGTGCTCGTTAAGTGAGGTTCCACTGTATTTAAATTAATTTGAAGCTTATTTTTTTTATTGTCTTTGCTATATATAATAATTTGTCAGCTTCTTTCAATTCCGAGCAGAAAATTTTGCAGTGATCATCTGATTACCATTATAGTTTTGATATATTTGCCAATTATCGGTAAAATTCACATTTATCGTCGGCTTCAAACATTTACATCATAACCTCGCATAGTGCGGCTGCGATCAGTTCAGTTATATATCAAAACAAATTAAATTTTAATTGAGCAAAATATAACTAAATTCTAAATAAATAATATACGAAATTATTTATTTACATATAAATTATTCTTTTATTTTCCTCTATTCAGTCATTTTTTTGTGTGGTTTATTTTTTTTATGTAGTTTTTCCATTCGTACGGATTTAAACAGTCCGGTGGAACCAATTGCTTGCATTATGCGAGGTATTGCTGTAATTCAATTATCGATAAATGAATGTGAAATTGTTGAATCTTTATTTCTTCGTATATTTTTCTATATGAGTGACATTTGTTGGAATTCTTTGAACATATTTTGTGTGCATATTTACAATAATCATTTATGACCTAAATCTGTAACTATAGTGGAAAATTAATGGAAGTGTTTGGCTTCAATTACCAGTAATCTCGGTAAAAATACCTTAAAGTTACAAATTTAGTTCATTTAATTTCATAGTTAAGTCTGTTTGAAACCAAATCCAAAATTTATATATTCATAACAATCTCAATATAACGTTTTTACTTCTAAAATCATTCTAATTAATTATTATTAATTGAATTAGTTGTCGCAAGAAACAACTGATATGACATGCAAGAAATAATGATCGATATTATTAATTAAATAATTGTATAATATTAAATTATAAAAAATATATTTCCGCGAAAAAAAAACTTTAACTGGCAACGAAGACTTTCTGAAAATTATACACTCAATATAATGCGGTTAATTGATTCCGTGTAATATAAAAACCGCGTTAAAAAAAAATTAGAATTAATACAAATTGGATTATTATATGCAACTCAGAATTAGTACAAATCAGATAAGATCATATCACGTTTTATGGAAACCTAATTCTATTTTTTTACCAAAATCTTGTACTCTTTCATATCAATCAAATTGAAACTGTCATTCTTTAATCATATTTTTGTCTACTAATGCATTTGAGGTAGATGTATCTATTAATACCTATATTTTTAAATCTTTCGTCTGTTAAACGAGATAGTTTAAAATTTACATCTGGGAGTGATACGTTCTTTAGAAGCTTTAAACCATTAGGGAAATAGCGTTTTAGTGATTAACTTTTTAGATTTCATATTTAAATCAAATTACATATGACGATGAAATCTAGAAAATAACAAACTAAAATCAGCGTTAAACTAATATTTAATATGTTGCAGACAATATGAAATAGTTGTATGATTCGTGGAATTTAGAGTAATAAGTTATTTATGTCACTATTCGGTGATCTAAATACGTATTTCATTTTTAAGTTTAACAAATTATTGTGCAAACTATTATTTTGTTTTTTTTTATTATTTTTCGAGTTCAATAATCAATGGCATTACAATTCAATTACGGTTTCAATTGAAGGTATTCAATGTAAATAGAAAGCACGATTGTAAATGCAATGAACGAGGTGGATGTAACGTGCACAAACAATAATAAATATTGCAAGGCACAAACAGAACAGACATTATACATTGTATAGCGTTACGTGTCGTGAGCAAATACATGTGTTGTGCTGCTCAACCTCATGGCCTAGTTGTGTACGTTAATAACTTGCGTATACAGTATTTCTAAATAAAGAATCAAATAAATTACGAAACAATGGAATCTCACCCAAGTAGATTTTTTCTGATAGTAGGTTGTTGAAGTGATGCCAAGGGGCCGTGTCGAACAAGACTTGAAGGACGTCGAAGATGGCCCAAGAACGGTGTCGGTGATGATCCGTTACGTCGAGTCTTCTCATCAAAAGCAGGCATAGATAGAATGAGATTACAGTGGCGTAGAGCAGAATCCAGAGGGTTGGACAGAAGGTAGCGAAGAGCGATGTCCAGCCCGGTTTTCGTCCTTCCTTAGGAACTTCCACGCACAGCTGATCATTCTGTACGATGGATGTGAAGAGTAGCTCCGGAGCGTTATAGTTCTTAAGGAACAATTGATTACAGGAGACATCCGTTTCTCCGGTATATAACTCATTAATGGATCCAGTCGCTGTGCCATCGAGTTCCCTGGAACCGAACAGCTGCCCATCGTAGGGCTCGTGCAATTCCAATGTTAAATTGAGCTCCAAAGCTATGGTGGTGAAAACCATATAATCCATGCCTTCAAAGCCACCGTTGTCCATTCTTAACGTAGTCGGAGGAGTTTCGAAGAGCGTTCCTCTAATTGTGTAACCGTTATAATCAAGATCATAGAAGGCTCGCAGAATCCCATCAACGTTCGTGATCTTAAAAGTGCTCGTTTTATTCGTGTAATAGTTATGATAGAAGACCTTCAATGAGCCTATTTGCAGGATGAGCAAATTTTTAAGTTTCATCTTGAAGCTTTCGATGAAAATCTGGGTGAGCGGTGTTTTAGAGATTATTAAAAAGTTTGTCGTTGCTTTATATCGGTAATGACGAAATCTGGCCAGAATATCTCTGATCTCCATGATCCGATCGGCAGCTAAGAGAAAGTTATTAGAAACATGATTGTTGCCGATTGAGAGATTTCGGTGATCTCTGAAGATCCTGAAGGAGTGCTTCAATTGCGGAAACGCAGTCCTCAGCAGTAATTCGCTCAACGTAGTATTGGAGCTAACTAAAGTAATGGTCGACGCGTTCTTGAAGTACCAACTAAGTAAGGTATGCACATTTTGATCCAGATCCGGAGGATCGTTGGGGATTTCCAATTGTCGAGATGATGATGTCATGATGAGCAGCAGTAGTAGCAAGTACATGGTTTGATCGGCATTGTTTTAATAGAAGAAAATAAATTGTTAAAGTCACCAAAAATAATAAGAATAAAAACGAATGGATGATAATGATAATAATGAAGACAAAAGTGCCAACATTGATTTGTGACGCTTGTCAGGGGGCGCGGCGAGTTTAACACAATTTTTCTTAGTCCAAGATACTTGGTAAACAGAGCCGTTCATCAAATATTCAATTCCCAATTGTTGTGTTCGCGTGCGTAAATTCAAATAAATCATAAGAGCAAAACACACACGCAGGACATAACGTTGACGAGACAAAAGTCCTTTAATTCTCATGCAAATGAAAAATAAATCGAGCAACTCATGAAACATGCAAAGAAACAATATCCTTCTGTTTATTATTTAAATAAATATAATTTATGATTTATCTGAGTTTATTCATTCCCATTATGTTATCATTATTAAAGTATTAGCAATAATAGTATAGTACAGCGACAAAGGTAGGTAAACTGGGCGATGGAGAGACGGGAATCGGGCGGAGGCGCCGGTTGTGGCTGTTCTCATTTCCGGCATTTCGGTGGGCAGCAGGGATTGCAGGGGCAGGGACACGGACATCCGGGTATGGTGGGACATCCGTACTTGAGCTTACATTCGACCGGCACGCAGCAGTTCATAGGTACGTAATACTCCACAGGCACGTAGCACTGTGATGGCGTATAGTAGCAGTACCGGAAGCAGTTCGAGTCGCACATCTTGTCTTCAGTTCTTTTGAATTTTCGATTCGACTGGTAGCTGGAAGCTCTCACACGCGAGCGTACCTTTTCACGGGAAATTTTGTTCTGAATAAACTGTGTTATTGTGCTCTGCAACCGCGGTAACGCTAACGTCTTTTGTTTAGCACAAGCCTGTCATATTCAAAGATATAGCGAATGCACACACAAAAAAAATAACCGGAAGTTAGCACTTGGCGACGAAAATATAACAAATTATTTATTCACGCTTCAGTTCAAAATTACGTTTCAAGATGTGCGATAAGTCAGCTGCGGTCAACGATCGCAGCTTCAATTACAGCTATTATACCCCGTCACAGTGCTACGTTCCAGTGGTATATTACGTACTTATGAATTGCTGTGTTCCCGTCGACTGCAAGATCACGTACGGCAAACCTGTCATCCCCGGATACAGGCCCTGCTCAAAAAAATGCACCAGCAAGGACACCTAGTGAACGACAGCCTCATACACTACACATCTCATTTGTGCCTGAGTAAATCTTTAAGTCCAATGTCTTTAATAATTAATAATCAATCGGCGACAATAAAATTAGCTTAAAATCTAACAACGGTGTAATAAGTGTTTTCTCTACCCGGCGCATCCACTTCATTGTTTTTAGTTTTAAGAAGTTATGAGAATACAGTTATTAACGCATAGGATGCGTTCCATAAAATTACTTCGGTAAGCAAATTTTAAAGTTAAAAATATGACTGTATTATTTCGTAAAGAAAATGAATAGCTTTTTTGATTGTCCAGAAAACGATGCAGAAAAAATCAGCACTATGTGGATTTTAAGTAAAATTTAGTTGAGGTAGTTTCATACAACTGAAATAAATTATAATAATCCTCTGGATGTATATTCCTAAACTCTTGATAATTGTTAAAAATGCTTAGAGTAGTATTTTACCCAATTCATCAACAATAAATGTATTAGTAACATCAGTATTAAGTAATTTACAATCAGCTGCACCTAAAACTTCTACAGTCATTTTTTTAGGTAGAAATTTATTTTTTTTCAACCTTTTTATTCACTACTGTTTAATGATGAAAATATTTAGTAAATAATCTGGCGGTTGACAATATTTTAATTGGCGATTATCCTTTACTTATTTGGTTATTAGTTGAATTTTAAGGGTAGATTCGGTGGCTTGTCTCGCTTCAGTTGCTGTGTTGTTGGGCTATTGTCCAGAAGATTGACATCTAGTACGTTTGGATGTCTGTCTAGTCTATTTTAGTATCGGCTACTCTTTTTCGTAATTGTTTCCTCTACTGTTTCCATTTAAGGTCCTCATGAATTCTCCTGTTCGTAACATACCATGAAGCACCAATGATCCTTCTTAGGCTCTTCGACTGGAATCTTTGTATGGTCGTAATATTAGATCTGCTGTTGACTACCTATAGCTCTATTCCGTATGTCCAGACAGGTTTTAAAATTACTTTATAGATCAGCAACTTATTTTTTTTTCAAAATTGGCAAGCCAGTAGAGTTTCCTGAACTTAATTTCGAGTTGTTCTCTTTTTGCTTGGATTTGATCCTTCCAGGTCAATGCATACCCAGATATTTAACTTTATTAGCAGGTGGGCAGGAGTTATTTCTCATAGTGAAGGTGTACTGATTTCTATTCATTGACCTTCATTATCCATTTTTGTAGCCATTCCTGAATTAGGTTCAGGTTTACTTGTAGGTGATGTGATGCAACTGCTGGGTCTGCATTAGATGATAATATTGCAGAATCATCGGCAGCTGAATCAACGTTGCAGCTGTTTTTTTGTCAGTTAAGGGCATATCTGCGGTATATAGTATATACAGGATAGGTCCTAGACCTAACGTGATTGGATACAAATTCGTCACCGAATCGAACACTTTCACTTGGAAGGTTATCCAGTTAAATATGAATATATTATTTTATAAAAGTTGTATGGTAAAATCTTCTTTAATTTATAGTGCAGTCCCGTGTTCTACACTTTGTCAAATGCTTGCGATACATCTAAGAATTCGCTTGAGCAATAGCGCTTCTCTTTCAGGTCTTGGCTTATTATATCTATCATTCTATTAACTTGTTCGATGGTACCGTGTTGACAACGAAATCCAAATTGGTGATTTGGTATTAGCTCATTGTTGTTTATGACTATTTTGAGCCTATTCATTAATAATTTTTAATAATTATTATTATTGGAAGTGGACTTATAGGATTTTATGTCTTCGGGAGCCTTTAATGGTTTTGATATTAGGATAATTTGAGCTAATTAATGTAGATATTAAATTAATTTAGTGTTCTAAAAACGAAATTTCGATAATTTGTTATATGTCGTAATAATTTTGTTTAAAATCTAGTAAATTTTATGTTGGATTTTTACCATTATTATGATTAAATAAATAAAACTTTTTCTTGCTTTTATAAGAAGTTTGTTGTATTCCAGGAGTCCAGGTGATATGCCGGTCGTGGATAGTTATAACGGCGATAATCATCGTATCGTGGAGATAGAGTGAAGAAGGTTACGGAAGTTAGGAATGTGATAGCAAGTGAAAGAGTGAGGAAGAATGATCTAAGCATGACGTCGACTCGTCAATCAACACTATATCATTCAATCCAGAATCAAACGGTAGTTTGGAACTATCTCATCTAGAATTAGTTGAATATTTAAGATACTTCATCAATGCAGATCAATTTTATGCATTTACATATAATACCACACCACATTCAGCCACAGGCTTAACCCCCTTCAAAATCTTATACGGACATAATCATTTTAGCTAAACCCGAACCAACATATGCGTATGACGAATATACGAGAAAAAATAATTATTTGGTGATAGAGGCAGTTCTTCAGTGAAGTTCTCACCTCCGCTCATTGGCCTGGATTTTAGAAAGAGAACACTGAATGTACTTCTAGAGATGGAAAATTCCATCAAATTTAGTGGGCACTATACAACTATTACAATAATCTAACAAACGCTGTTTGAATCACGGTCATCACCTATATTTTGCAAACATTCTACTACGTCCTTGATTTATTATTTAGTATTCGAGTCTTCTCCGACCCCAGTAAGAACATGCAAAGATGGCATGGATTTTATGGCCATAGCCCTGAAGTTCAACTTCTCGTTAACCAAACTCTTGTCGTTGTTGTTAATTGCCAATATCATACTTATTACATAATTTTTTATAGGTAATTAGCATATTTTTTTATATTGAAACACAAATAGTGTTTCTTACGGATTAGTAGAATAAAAAATAATATGGTTTAGTACAATTATAGTAATTCTTATCAAACTAATACAAAATATTTGCATTTTATTTAATAAATTCTAAAAAAATTTGTGTTAAAAAAAAACTAGATTGTGGTCATAAAGAGCAATGAAACATTCATTTGTCTATAGTGACAATATCGAGTTCCGAACCTAAGTTTGAGTATTGAGGTTCCATTGTATGCGTTTAATACCCGGCGCATCCGCTTCAAATAAGAACATTAATGAATTCAGTTATCGATTTTTTTTCGAATCACCTTGCATGTAATTCACTTAAAACTATTACTTATAAAATACATACTATTTGAAGGTAATTTTTTGCACTCGCACAGTTGATCCATTATCCTTGAAAAAATTTATGCTGGTAGTCCATGAGATGAATTACTTTCATTCACTTTGAGCATTTTTTTTGGGAATAAATAAAATCCTTTTTTTTTGCCATACTTCAAAACTGTATTGTTTTAAGTATTTTGTTTTGCATTTAAGTTTATTTTTTAAATATCCTTTTATAATTAGAAATTATCAGGGAAGTTAGGATTAATTTATTTATTAGTAGATAAAAGATGTTTATTTAAATAAAAAATCTTTATTTTCCATTGTTAATTCTCTGTTTGTTATTTTTCGTATAATCAATTATAGATTATTCAAAGTTTTTGGAAATTCCGCAATTGTAATACTTAATTGATTGCTGGATATTTATGGATGACAACAGAATGGGATCCGTTGGTATTTCTCAATAATTTTATAATGAATTATGTTTTTGTTACAAGATCAGATCAAAAATACGTACATAATACACGGAGTTTTACGTTCACGTTTGCATCGAAACGTGAAAGTAGTCCAGTTTGAGTTTGCAATAAAAAAAATTATATAATCTCTTGAGAGTTCTCTCACGGTTACGACCTCGCCGACCGGAATTTGTTTACATATTATTTTTTTTTGTGTTGGATGCAATTAGTTGATATTTATTATATTTATCTGTGTTTTGTTGGGATTTTCTATTCAATTTGTGCAACATTAGGAATTACATAATATTTATTCGTTTATTCATATTCATATTTATGTTTATTACATACATGATACTTAAAAAAAATATAATAAATGTAGTCGAGAGTGTTAAAAAACTCTCGCATTAAATAGTTTAAATATGTTTTTGAACTTATTTATTGCGTCCACTCTATTCGCAAACTGTGCCCCTAATGGCGTCGGCTACTTTGATCCTGAAAATTCTGTAGTTGACCATATTTGGGTCGAGTTCGGTGTAGAGGAAAGACGGCATTCTGTCGGATAATATGAAGAGGTTTTGCTCGGAGTCGATCTGCAAAAATAATAAAATAAATGTTTGAGTATGTGAGTATGAAACCAGATCTATTTGATGTTTCGGTCGTTCCCCTGCAGTAGTGGTCGTCCTTGTAAGTAATGCAATTCGAAATTACCTTCAGGTCGTTGGTGAATATGAGGCGCTCCTTGTCTTGAGCAACGAGAGCCAAAGTGTTTGGGCTCAAAGGTTTCCTAGGGTTCCAACAAGCTACGGCGTCGCGGTTCAGTTGGGTCATGAAGACGACTCCTGTCGTCTCGTCCAGGTCACTCGCAGATGCTTGACCTAAGTCTCCTTTTTCTCCTTCAATCTATTAAATTTCATATTTAAATATTATTAATGGACGTCGTTTTGCAGCGAAGAGTACCTTGAATAAGTAATAGGAATGCGGGTCGGTGGCGATGGTCTTGTTCTGCAGGACCCTGGTGGAAACGGAGAATTCCTTGGTGCTGGCTAACGGATGGAAGTACATAGTGCGGTATCCGTCATTTTGAATGGCGGAGAGAGCCAAGCCAAAGACGCCATCAGTCCATTGGAAGTTGAGGCCGCCGACGTTGAAATCTCCCTTGAGCGGATCGAAGTGGAAGAAGTTGTGCTGCACCCTCCAGGAGGTGTTCTCCTGGCAAGAGTAGACCACGAGCCCGTAAGCGCCTAAATCTGGGACATAGGCAAAAGCCTCGTCACATCTTCCGGGATTCACATCAACCACCTATGTAAAATTTATCTTGAAACGAGGAATTTCTACGCTTATGATCCGACAACTTACGACGTTGGCGAAGAAAGAGTCTTCCTTGAGGTCGGAAGGCTGGAATTCGTATCTCTTGATGAGTTTATCGGTGTTCAAGTCGTAGATGACCAAGGCTGGTTTAGCGACCTGGTTGCCTTCTCCTAAGATATCGGCGAGACCGGTGTCCATCACCCACAAGCGATCGCACGAGTCGACGGTTACTCTGAAGGTGGACACGACGGAATCGATGTCGATTTTGTTGTCCTTGGGTATGATGTTTGCCTTCCAGCTCGGGTACGGAATCAAAGCGGCGGTATTATTTCTCGGTTCCAATTCGACGTAGTTCAAGGAAGAAGCGACTCCGGCCTTCCATCTGCAGAGAATCCTCTAGTAAACGAATCGAAATATATGTGATATTGATGTTATTTTACCTTGGAACGGTCACAAAAAGTTTGTTTTTCCAACGGGCAAGACCCAGTGGCAAATTGTTGGCCGGAATGTAGGCGCCAGAGTGGAGAGCCTCCTGCTTGGCTTGCTCATTGGGCCAGGCGAATTCCAGTTGATTCCAACTGAAGATCTCATCCAATTGACCAGCGGCTGAAACCGCGGCCAACAAACCGGCTACCAGAAGGATTCGATGAAGGGACAACATCTTCTCTGCTCAGAATTCCGCTGAGCACTGCCGTCAATTCGCGCGACTCAACGGTAATCGAGACCATCGGGGCCCCCACCAGCGCAAGAGGTTCGCATATCCAATTCACTACACTTTTTTAGAAAACGTGATTTACTATTGACCATGAACTTATTGCTGTTCGACCAGAAGGAACAACAACAACAAAATGCTCGGCCGACTTGACCATCGTCATTTTATGCAATGATAACTTCCAGCTAGGTAAATACAATTCATCAGGACCGGATCAAGTCAACAAGATCAACGGTGTTTTCATTATTAAAATCGGCTATGACGATAATTCAATTAAACACAAGCGATTTTAATTAATTAGCATTGGTAAATACGTAAGAGGTTTGTTACCCAATAGGCCGATTTCACGGTAGTTTAATCTGTTGCAAGTGACGGCCCTGCAGATCATGATTTACGTAATAGCGATGATTAATTTGGAGCCGGTTGTTATTATATTTTTCTTTTATGTTGTTCCCCTCTCATCTTAACGGTCCATCGACCATTGCGAAAACGTAAATTATCACTCCTTTTTTTTGCTTCCTTCAACGTTTCAACTTTCGGTTTGCATCTGGTTCATCTCGTAAAGCTTACGTAATGCGTGTGTGTATGTGCGTACGTGAAAGCCACAGACGATGGATAAAAATGCACGGAGTGTAGTAATAATTTCAATCACGCGGCCTTCGATTTATTCAGATTGTTTCGTACAATTATTTGTTCTAATTTTTATTCTTTTTCTGTTTTATTGTATTTAGCGAAGGTGACTGGGAGATATAATAATCATCTCCCCTAGGATAAAAGTACACTCTCACTCACTAAGTATTTATCGCTTCGTGCTATTTATTCTTTCTTCTGGCGCAATGCACACTGTAATTTCGCCACGGCTCTAATGACGGGGCAATTTGAATAATGACGGCCGAAAGAAATCCCCGAATAACAGATTCACTTTGGTGCTTTTCTTTCATTCCAAAGAATGGAGACTTACGCGAAAAACCACTTCGCCTTTAATAGGTCCGAAAAGTCATCCTTTAATAAAAACAATACAAATACTCGAATAAAACAATACATTATTTTGGTTTGCTTCTTTTCAGATGGATTCTGCAATGTGCAGGGCTGTGGGCGCCGGAAGATGCCAGTAAATTGACCTCGCTGCTATACAAATGTTACGCCGTCTTCGTGTTTTGCTTTGTTAACATTTACTTCACGCTGACCGAGATGTACAGTTTCTTTGAGACTTATCATCATCTAGATCTGTTCATAAAAAACTTGAATTTCGCATTGACCCATCTGATGGGGGCCATAAAGTGTGCGTTCTGGTTCCGCAGAGGGTCGTATCTCATTGCGATCATCAGGACCTTGGAGCAGCCGCGTTTTCAATACGTGCAGAGCGAGACCTTCAATCCGGGAAAGATCAGCGTCGATGCAAAGCGCAGGGGATTCAAGTACACCATGGCTTTCTTCCTACTGGCGCATATGACACTCTCATCGTCCTACATTCCCAGCGGGTTGATGGCCGTCTTCCGCCCCACATACGTCCTGGATACCCACGGGAACGCTACTTTTGTCCAGCAACTTCCTTACTTCAGTTGGATACCCTTCAAGCATGATACTCCCACCACCTACATCTTCGCTTTGGTATACCAGGCTGGTCCTATGGTCTCGTACGCTTATAGCATAGTTGGCATGGACACCCTCTTCATGAACATCATGAATTACCTTGCTTGCCACCTGCAGATCCTGTCCGGAGCATTCGCCACGGTCGTGCAACGCTCAAAACAGCAACCGGAGCGAGAATTGAAGAAGTGTATCGTCCACCTTCAAACGGTCATTAGGTGAGAGATATTGAAATTAATGCACGTCAAATTTCGACCTTTTACATACATCACATTCAAAAGTAGGTGTTTATTTTTTTCGGTTACTGCTAAAATCGCATATGGTTAACGGTTATATTCCCTGAAGCTATGTAGACAATTAAAAATAATATATTCATGTAGTTCTTAATGGAAATAGAACTGCGCCTTGTGTTCCAAATTTTGATTAACAGTAACACACAACTCGATCATATTGATATACAAATAGATTTTTTTTTATTGTGTTAAGCTGATTTACGGGCTAATGACCTACCAGTATTCTCGAACTGATGACATTTCAGATCGCTTCAAGGATGTTATTATCACAAATAAAAGGAACACATACACATCTGAGAATCAACTTTGGTAAAACCGCAGAATTAACTGACAAAAAATAGAATTTCCCATTTTAGTAAGATTCCCGAAACCATGACATAGAATTAATCTCTCGTAAAGTTTTTACTACTTTGCATAAAATTAACGATATTTAAAGTGGAAAGAATGAAAACACGTTGCTTCACATAAACAACAGGAAAATTAATTTTAAAACTGTTATTTACAATACCACATAGTCCAGGTAATCAATTCAATCAATATCCCGCACTGTTTGAAACCGCACTAATTGAGGAGTTTAAAACCGTATAAAAATAAGCAGCTCACAAAGATTTTTCAAATAATTTTGAGTATTATTTTTTTTAGAATTTATTTTGTTCAATTCAAATTTAGTTAGTTTTGAAATTTTCAAACCGTACTATAGTGAATCCGCACTGATCGATGCCGGACTATGAGGAGATATTACTGTATTTATTTAAAAAAAATGATGTTAAAACAAAACGTAAAATATTTTAAACAATTTACATTTTGATTATGCATGAACAAATATTTGCAAATTATTATATTTTGAAAGATTTGTTATTGAAGAGTGATAAATAGTACTTCTATTTTTAACAAAAGTTAATCTTTATTCGCGTCTCCGCTAAACATCTGTCAATTATGAAACGCTCGTACGTGTTTGACAACATTATACTACAGTAAAACCTGTTTTTGTGCGGTAGATACGGACCGCATAAAAGAAACGGCACAAAAAAAATATTAAAATTTTCATAAATTCTTACATATAACAAATAACTTTGTATAATACATTACAGAAACTCACTTAGAAAATACGTCAAAAATTCGCGCATCTTCTTGTGATCAATTGGTTCAAAATCGACTAACAGGTAGTACATGTGCACACTGATAGAAAACATTACATTATGATGCCAATGACGTCGGATTTTATATACCGCATAAAAAAGGACCGCACAAAAAGAGGTTCTACTTTTAAAATGGAAATTTCTATCCATGAAAGTTTTTCCAATGTAAAATTTCATAATCAATTGTTGCCGTGCGCAATGGAGTTTTGTTATGATGTAACATTAAAAAACCAAGTCATTAGCTATGATATCGTATTTCAAACGATATAATAATAATACATTATACTGGTGTTATTGTTTTTCTATTTTTCAAGCTGCTAATGACAATTAATCTAAGGTAAATATAATTTTTCCGTTTGCGTGATTCGTCTTTACCTTTGATTGAATTAATTCTATACGTGTTGATCATTATTTGACCCTACTTTAATTGTAGGTGAACAGTTATTTGTGGATTGCACTATTATGAATAGAAAAACGTTTGAATAAGAAAAAAATGAAAATGAACTCCATCCAAGGCTTTTAGCACTTGAGCGTTTAAGCATTCAATATTCACATTTTTTTGAAAATTTCAAAACAAACTGTAATTGACAAAAATCTGAAAATTTAGTACATAATTTCGTTTTTTTCTTCTTTATACAATCAAGTCTATTTTTGTGGGATTTTAAAGTATTCAACACGATTACCCGCACGATGCGTTGTATTGCTGTATATACCAATGACATGTAACTTTTGGATTTTTTAAATTCTTCATGGCTTCAGGAAAATTAAATTTGCATATTTTTAAGTAAATTATTTTCCTTTTAACCGATTCTCGATAATATTATTTTACAAATTTAAGACACACAATGCGTTATCTTCATCTTAAACGATATTAAATGCTAAAGTTATTAATATATTATGCGATAATTGTTTGGAATCTTTCACATCGGACAGCTCAAGGTTTCGTAGGATAAATGCCGTGCGATGTATGTAACCTGTACCACTTAATACAATGCGGAGATGGCTATCGTGTTAATTGGTCATTTCGTTTAAATGATTTGTAGAAGATATTACAAGGAAAATTAATCGTAATAAAAAGTAATACTCTCGAAATCTTTCCTAATATGATTTTTACTACTTTTAGCATAAGCATAAATTTTAAAGCAATTTCTGCTTCATGTTTTTGAATATTACCAATTGTAATATTACAACAAAAACAAACATCTTTTTAGTATGCCAGGATGCGTCCGATCTGTTGTTGTTTGCGGTGAAACCATGAAATTGGATTCACGTCGCGCGCGCGCTCCCGATTTGCATACGTTAACTGCAAATTCTCGGAACGAAGGGCAACAGCGCGCTTTCATCTTTCCAACATCATAAGTGGTAATTGCGTAATACAAATCGGATATATTTATTCATTCGTTGTTGCTGCAGCAGCCGATGAATAGAAGGGAAATTAATCGCAAGTCACGCAACAATGACCACAACCCGACCCGTTCCGATTTTATTTCCTTTGTTCGAATCGGACTGTTAACAATTTATCTCGATTCTATTTTAAATCTGTATTGTGCAAATGCGCAATATGAATATCCAATAATAACAACAAATAAACTTTTTCTTAGGAAGGAATATAATGATGGGATTTATTGTTTTTTTCTGTGGTTTCAGGATGTGCGAGAAACTAGAGGACGTCCACAAATATCTGACGTTGGGTCAGGTGATGGCGACGCTCTTCATACTCTGCACCAGTTTGTTCTTAGTATCTACGGTAGAAAAAAAGCAACACAGTTAAATAGAATAAAATGTAATATACATATCAATTGTAGACGCCTGTAGCGAGTAAACAATTCGCCGCAGAATCTGTATACATGATCGCCATGGGTTTTCAGCTAGTGCTCTACTGTTGGTTCGGGAATCAGGTCACTTTGGGGGTAGTTAAGAAACTTATATATCTATATAACACGCTAAATGATGCACAACAATTCGCTTCAGGCTTCTGAAATTCCAATGGCGCTGTGGAAGTGCGACTGGTTGTCGACCACGAAATCGTTCAAAGCATGCATGCTTATCACGATGATCAGAATGAAAAAACCCATCTACCTGACGGTCGGTAAATTTGCTCCGCTCACCCTGGCCACATACGTCGCCGTAGGTTATGCTACACTTGGTTAACTTAATCTAATATGATCGTGTCGTTACAGATATTGAAAGGTTCCTATTCATTCTTCGCCGTTTTGAAAAAGGCCAACGACTGAGGAGGAAATGTGATACATTATGTAGGGAGATTAGAGAGGGCACTTTACATGGAAAATTGTTGTCCATCCTGCACTTTGGCGATTTCCTTGAACTGAGTTATCGTCTCTTTCGCTAACTTCAGCCGATTTTTCAGCACTAATATCTCGTTTCTGACTCTCACGCGCATATCGCTTATAGTTTTCATAGTCTTATTCTTGCGCTCCTCAACTGAAAAATATAAAATGTTTTTAATACTAAGTCTTATTATGGTAATAAAATAATAATATAAATTTAAAAAATGCACTTACAATCAGTATTGTGTTCCCATTGATCCAAAGTTAACTGTTTCGTGTTGGTCAGTAGGTGTTGCATTAATTGAGTGGGATCTTGAAAAACAATCTCATCATAGTTTTCGGAAACTAAGCCTTTGCTTTGGTCTATAGTTACATCCATAGTGCTGCCAGCTGCATGGAAAAGTTTTAGTACATGGTACATGGTGACAGGTCTTTCATTTGGATCAATGAAATGTATCTTTATGACAATCTCAAATTCACCCCAGCCAGTCTCACTTATCTCATAAGGAGGCTTAACCACAATACGGTTTTGATTGGCATAACTCTCATGTAACTTGAAATGCACCTTCTTTACATAAGCTGACATGTCCTCATTATTGTAAGGTTTCACATAAACTGTCCACTGGTGAGTGTGTCCATCCTCTTCACGCTTCTTTCCGAAATACCTTGCTATGTTTCCATAAACGATGGGCTTCACAATGCACACACCCTGCATCAACAGATGATGAGATATCTCAGGAAATTTACAAGAGTTACGGACTTACCTTCATACGGCCTCCAGAATCTGGTCCAAAATCTGTCGGAAGACTCATTTTTGTTACCAAAATTATTGTTTATTTAGACCGGCGTTAGATTAATGAAAACAAAAACATCAAAGCACGTGAATGTCAAACATTGCAAGAACTATGTTAATGTTGATGTCAGTTGATGTATTCAGTTTACGTCTGGAAATTTGGCTTGAATGAACTAGAAAAGATTACTTTATTATCGGCAAGTGGTTTAGAATTAATAGTTTTCTAAAATAATAAGAGGAAAGAGTATAATATTATTGGATTTTTGATGATGGTTGGTAAGGTTTTAGTTGGTTTTAGTGCTTTTCTGTCGGTGTTAAGTTGGTATAACTGCACAAAATAATAGTGGTTATGGAATCCGAAATGGGGCGCCATTTTATTAACCTTTCAGGCGGGGAGTCGTAATAACTAATTTGTTATTAGTTGATTGCGGAACACGAGGGAGTGAAGTTGTATGGAAAGTTAATGTGCTGGTTGCTGTGTGCTAACAGCAAATGTAATTAGAATAGTAGCATACGCCTGAAAGTGTTGTTTTTGACTACCGTCATCTCTGAATGCCAATAGGATTACAGTGGCCAGGAGGAATATAAACACACGCAGCAAAGATTAAATTAAACAACAGACACACACTACCACCGGCTGTAACGGTATGTCTAGTTTAAAAATCTTATATGACTCGTCGCCTCGGTCATTCTAATTCGAAATTGAAATGTTAATTGAATGTTGTTATTAGTATTAATAATGTGAATGGGAATATTGATGTATGGATGTGGGGGGAACGACGGCCGAGCGTGCCTGCCTCAGTGATCTCGTTCCACTCTCCTAACATGCTTAACAGTGCTCATAAGTAGGGTACATGTAGTGTTCAAGGCAATAATTCACAATTCATTATGATCTACTCGATGCAACAGTATTTGAGTACAATAAGATTTTCAAACATCAGGCTTGATTGGTATATAAACAATTCATTTATGCTTTGTAGGTTATGTGCTGTCATCATCATTCATTCACCATCTTCACCGTTGCTGGGCTTGGGTGCACATGAAAATGTAGTCAACTGCATGTCAACTAAATGTGCATGTGCATGTAAGTGTCATTCAATTGGTCAATGAATTTGTATTGGTAGTAATTGGGTGGGAGTTTGTTGCAGATCATTCATATTTTGTTGTTTGGCAATATTGATTGTGCATTGAAGATATTCCATCCATCAAGAAAGGCCCACCACACAGAATAAAAACTTAATGATATCATTGGCGGTATGGAAGATGGTTCCGGTGGCGTCTCGTCGTCGTCATCGGCTGCAGCAGCAGCAGAAACAGCTGTAAATCAAAATCAGACAGAACCGAATAATGGCAAAACAGTCATGGCTAACTTTCCAATTGGCGATCAGACAAGTTGTTCTAGTCCGCTGAAGGTAAACGGCGACTCGGCTTCCGCTACGACGGTGGTAACACCACCGGACGACGCGAAGGATACGAATAGCTCGGATTGCGACGCCCTGGTGATCGATGAACCGCGATCTCCAACTTTAACGAAGATTAAAGAGGAACAAAAGGAGGAAGAGGAGGAGGTTGTGGCAGATGAAATCCAGGATCATCATCAACAACAATTTACGCATACGAATCCATACTTCTCGGAGTCGATTTTCGAATTGTCCAGTCAGTACAATAAGCCCAATCCTCAAGTGGAGGACGAAGAGGACGACGACGAAGAGCTGACCAAGGTCAGTACTACAACCACTACGATCAGCACGACGACGAATGGCAAGAAGGTGCCTAGGAAGAAACACAAGCTCAGAGAATACGCCCAGTATTTAGGTCTTCAGCCTACCGTTCAGTTCAAATGCTCTAAGTGTGGCTCGGCCGGTTTTCCGTCATTGCAAGTCTTGAACGAGCATCTTGTTAACTGCACATCGCGCATCCCATTGCCGCCCCCTGTGCCAGCCTCTAACAACGCGACCAATTTCCGTGTTACGCGAAAGGTGTTTCTGTGCTCGGCGTGCGGTACTTACTACGAGAACTGGAATCTTTTTCTGCACATGCGAGAGGTGCACAAACGCTTCATATGCTTGTATTGTCTGGGGATGTTTCCGCATGCCGAGAAACTGTCACTGCATTTGGTATCCAAACACAATTGTGCTCCGGGACGCTTCGAGACTGTTAAGGACTTTTTTGGCGCTTACAAGGAACCGTGTTTCTTAATGTGCTGTGACTGTCAGACTGTGTTCAATGAGCAGGAGGACTTTAGTAATCACATTTGCATCGACAGCAACAACGAACCACCGGGTGATGAGCTCAAGCAGCAGCGACTACTACCAGTTGTCGAGGAGAACAACAGCAGCACAACTGCCGTCGCGGCGGCGGCGACAACAACAGCTTCGACTAATTGTGCTATTAATGTGAACGAGACAGAAACGACCATGGTTATAGATCAGCAGGCGGAGAGTAGCGATCAGACGGCGATGGAGGTAGATGAAACAAAAGAGGAGGTTGAAAAAGCACCAGAAGTGATGAACGGTGATGTGGACAATATTTGTGCGGAGGAACGGCCTAAAGTTAAAGACGAGAAATGTGATGAAAACGTAGAGGATGAGGAAGGAGAGGATGATAACGCTACTGTTGAAGATAATGATAATATCGAAAGAACAGGTACAATCCATAATAGTATCATAATAGCTTGCATAATATTAATGTTTATTTTTTTAGGACCAGAAAACGACGACGTGGAGGAAAACGAAGAAGAAGATGATGGTGACAATCAAGAAGATATGGATGTGGATGATGCGGCGAGCGGCAGATCGTCGCCAGCTGATGAAGATGAAGAGGAGGCTGCGATATCCCCGCCAGCGTCACCTGGGGAACCGGAACCGGAAGTCTCCGTCACCGATGAGAGGAAAGTTCCGAAAGTGACACTGAAATTGCCAAAAATAACCAACTACAGTTCGATCGCCGACGACGAGGAAGAGGAGGAGGAGGAATACGACGACGAAGACGATCAAAGCGACGACAGCGAGAAATTGACAATGGAGGTGGATAAATCGGAGGAGCAAAGCGACGTTGAGATCGGCGGTGATCCATCGGTGAACGCGACGCCACGCGACCAAATGCAGCAACCACCAGATGATGATGAATTAGAAGACGATACAGGCGATCCTCAAGATCAGTCTCGGATCAATGGCGCTGACGATGAACAAGACGAGAAGAGTGTTGTAGAGGAGGAAATGCAAAGTGATCCAAACTCGATTCCTACTGCCGGAAGTGATATTGCCATAATAGAATTAGAGCTGGAGCAACCATTAGACAAGTTTGATATTAGGTTCTTGTTGCAAAAGTGTCTGAAGGCGACGGTAGCCACATGCTTATATTGTAATCACGCTAGGAGGATAGCGGTTAATGGCAAGCAACTTGGATTGCACGCTATCTCCGACCATCGTTTCTCCGCTATAGTGAAAAGTATCACGGCTGAAGAATTGATACCGGAAAGTTTCAACAATAGGATTAAGGAATGCTTCGGAGAACTAGAGAATATCTACTTCAGTCTCGAATCAACATTCGGTAATGAGTGTGTCACTTACTCTCATATGTTTGAGTGTTTCCAGTGTCGATATAGCACTTCCGTGCATAAGGAATTATACCTGCATAACAGAAAACTGCACGCGAAGGCCATACTTCTGTGTACAATGTGTAAGACTAGTTTCTACAGTTACAGCGAACTTATATGCCACCTGTGTCCAGGACTGTATGTGCTCGAAAGTGAAGTGCAGTTTCGCTGTTGTTTGTGTGTGAGTGATGACCTTCCATCCGCTTTCCGGTTGATGGTGCATCTCAGGAAGCGGCACCACGTGTGCGACGTCTGTTTAGAGATGTGCCACAACCAGTCCCGACTCTCGAATCACATATGGAAACACAAGTTACATCACTTGTGTTACCGCTGTGGCATCTCTTATAGAAATAAACCGGACATTACGAAGCATCTATACTGGAAGCACGGCACGGAGAGTGTGCTGTGTAAGAAATGCCAGCAGAAGAAGTGGCCGCATGTTTACCACTTCTGTATACCGCCGACGAGTTTCACGTGCGAGGAATGCAATCTGAGTTTCTCCAAGGCCGTTCGGTTGATGGTCCATAAACGACAGCACGAGAACAATTTCCCGCACGTCTGCGCCGAGGAGGATTGCACAGAAAAGTTCATCTCGAAGAAACTCCTCGAAAAGCACTCTCACAAACACAGAGAACCTGTGAAAGAGGAGGATGATGTGGAGGACGACGAAGAACCGGATGTTGGTGGAGCGGAGAAGAGGCCTGGCGACATTGGTGTCAAGAATGAATCTCAAGTTGAATTAAGGCAGGATGAGCCTAAGGTTGAGAGCGAAAATCAAAAATCGGAAGAGCCGAATACGAGCGAGGTGCCTAAGCCAACTAAAGTCGACGTCTATGATTTACCTGAATTAAATCTATCGGAAAGCGATAGCAGTGAATCGGAGGAAGAAGATAACAAATCGAAACCTACTACGGAAATTAACACGACTAATACCAAATCTTCTTTTGGCGATGATGATTTGGATGCCTTGATATTGACACCACAATCTGGGGAGGTGTTGAAAACCGACGAAGATGGAAAATTGAACGGACCAGTTCCAATTTTGGAGAACGTCTGGGACGATTTTAAAAACTATCAAGCGAACATTGCCAAACTTGATATTCTTACTGACGTCGGAAAAGAGGAGGATGACGATTTGCCAAAGATATTGACAGATATACCAGAAGTGTTAACAGTGGAGGTGGCATTGCGCGATCACGATTATTGTGCCCCGACGATGGACACGCTCAAAGAAGAGGAGGATATGTTTGCCAAACCTACAACGTCGGTGGTAGCCGCTGATACCAGCGCAGATCATGATTATTGTACCGCGCAGGTGATGCCCAACCCGGAACCCCCTAAGCCCGAGCCGGAGCAGAAGGGCGGTGCTATAGCCACGAAGCCACCACCATCTAGCGACTCCAGCTCGGATTCGGACTCATCGAGCTGTACGTGCGGTTCCAACTGCTCGTGCAGTTCTAGCTCAGATAGTTCCAGTTCTTCCTCAGATAGCAGCGAATCCGACAGTTCCAGTGAAGAAGGTATAGACATTATTCTTATCACTTTATGAGCGTTGGAGAATTACTTTTATTATTATAAACTTTAGGTCGACGAAGACAACAAGTCAGACGGGAGAGACGGCGACAAAAGAAGACCAAGCAGCAGAAGTCATCAACGGTCGTACAGGAACAAAAACCTGCAGCCGCTCCGACGACAGTACCAGAAGTGGCGCCAAAACCAAAGGTTGTTGTTCCCAAGAAGGATATTCCCATAATGGAATCGGATCTGGAGACGACGGAATCAGACACGGATGAAGATTTTTACGACAAGGAGCCGCAGAAATTGGCGAATAAGATGCTTGCTGAAAAGCGGGAACGGATGTTACAGTTGGCCGGCATCGGACCGTTCATCAATGGATCGATGATCGACAGTCGACCTTCAACTCCCAGTTTGCCTCCAGAAGAGGTAAAAGTGAAGAAGTCCAAATCAAAATCCAAGAAAAAGAAGAAAAAGAAAAGCTCGCGGCACGAGCAGGAAAAGAATACTATGCTGACGCTGACCATACCGAAGCATTCGCCGAGTTATGCCTCCAGCGTTTATAATAACAGTAGCCCCAACATCGTAAGCATAAATAACGTGAACAATTCAATGAGCGGAGGACACGCGTTGACGGCCGGAGTGCTCAGCGAGACAGATTCGAATACACGAGCGTCGAAGCGCAGAAGGGTGCCGAATAAATTTTACGGCTATTCCAGTGATGAGGAGACCGAGAAGGCTGCCGGGAATCAAGGATTCGGCAATTTCAAATTTAGAAAAGCAAGTTTTATTCAAACTGGCCTAGTTAAGCATGATTATTCTAATTCATTTATGTTTCTTTCACATAGGTGGACCTTCCGTCGCCGGTAGTACCGCCCATTACAATCAAGGCTCCGCCCCCACAGACTGTGGAGCCGATCTCAATACGGATGACGCCAAAGTCTGGAGAGATGCGGGTGCAGCCTTTGAGATTGCCCTTCCCCAAAATTGCTCGAACCGGAATGCCGAGAATGAGGAAACCTCAGCCGCTCGCCGTCGTTCCTGATGCGCCTCCTCTACCGCCTGTACATACGGCTGTCGTAGCTCCAAATGCTACCGAGAATTCCGACTCGAACAGCTCCAGCAGCGAGGACGAAACTGTTCCAACAAACGTGGTCAAGGAGCAGCCGGCTCTGTACTGCTACTGCAGGTGTCCCTACGATGAGGTATCAGAGATGATCGGGTGCGACGCTGACGATTGCGCCATTGAGTGGTTTCATTTTGAGTGTGTCGGAATTATGGTGCCACCGAAAGGACAATGGTACTGCCCAGATTGCAGGAAAAAGAAGCAGCAACGGAGAGACATGCAGCACTCTCAAATGTCCTCTTAATTCATGATTCACAATTATATAAATATTACGTATATTTACGTTTATATTCAAAAATATAGGTATTAAGTTGTTTCTCCGTTTACTACTACTGCTACTTACTACTACTATTACTATTGGATTGCATGTATACAACAATTTGGCAGGCTGAAAGGAAATCGGCGTTCTTTTTTCGTTATATTATATACAATGTATGTAAAAACGTAAAGAAGTTCTATTAGAAACTATAAAACTAAAAATGGAATGAAAGAAGCAAAAAATTTAACAGTACCTGTATATAAGCTACTTAATTATTGTTTATTACTTATATATTATATACATACATACATACGTATATATATGTATAGAGAGATAGATATTGTGATTTTTATTTTGTTGTATAATTCAGTTTTAATTTTATTATTTTCGAAATTTGTTAATTTTCTATAGTTAATGAAAAACATTTGAAAAAAGTGAGTAAGGAAAGATATGCCAAAATTTTATTAATTTTTACCATAATTTAAAAATAAGACGACGATGATGATGGATAATAAGTAAGTGCGTACACGTTGTTAAATAAAAGGATGCGATTAAGGAAAGAAAATGTAAATTTTGTAAATATATTTTTTAATATCGGTAGTGTATTATATAAACTTATATACATATATATATATATAAAGAAAAGAAATACCACTGGTGAGATTTAAACTGTTCTTTTTATTTTGTTTCACTTTTATTTAATGATCGCTAATTATACAAAGAAGACAAAAACTATTTATTTTATTTTTAAAGAAAATAATTTTTGTATCGTTAAGACATGTATACTACTACTATCTTTGTTCGTGCAGGAGAAGCGAGAGGTGTAAAATAAAGTAGAAGGATGAGGAAGTTGAAACGAAATATGAGTATATATATAAAAAAGTGAATAGAATCAAATATATATTATATTCTTTTTGAATCACAACGTACATTCCGTCCATATCTTCTGCAAAGATTCGCATTTATTCCAGCCAGTATTTGTTGGACACGTGAGACATTTTTTTCATCTTCATTTTTCCATATATTTACATTTCCAATGGCAGGTTGAGGGTGCCCTCAATCAAGGACAGGAAAACATTGCGATGGTCGGGTCTTCGGTTTCGTAGGTAATCAATACATCGCGGAACTTGTCCAGAAGTTGCAGCAACTGACTGCGTCTCAGATTTTCCAAATACATTATTTCCTCGATGTGGTGGTTTCCTGTGAAATACTTTTTGCGACATAGCCGGGCGAATAGCCTCAGATCGTCAGTGTTGTTCGATGCTGGTATCTTTTATAAACAAATGGATATGATTACATGCTAAAAGATACAATTACGTTGATGTTACCTTAAAGATAATGCTCCTTTCTTCGTCGGTGAAATCTAACAGCAGCTCCTCGTGGTAATCGTGCTTGTCTTCGTCGGTCGAATTATAACTGAAGTTCTCGGAGCTGCTGTAAAATTAGAAAAAAAAGGAAGTTGGATTGAATCGTAATTATTTGGCAGCTATACTTTTTAGTTTCTGCTTCGGATTTGCTCTCCAAGCCTTCGGATATAGTCGATGTGCCACTCTCCGATTCCGTTCGCATTTTTCTCGTTGCACTAATCGACTCGCTTTCGCTGTAAGAACAAAAAAAAATCAATGAAAATTTTGATCGGATTCGTTTTTATTATAAAAACTCAACGATTGATTGGCCACGAACTGATCTGCTATCATAAATTGGATATAAGTGTGTAGCTGAAGCAAAAGATGGTTCTGAAGCATCCAGATGATCATCTGTACCAAGGTCGATTGCTGGGAAGGGTGATGTAGCGGATTGCACTTCTGTCCGAGGGACGTGGGGAGAGAAAACTCGCTGATTGCTCTTATCAGATTCATCCCTTGGAACAACTCGCTGAACTTGTCGACCAGTGGCGAATTAAGATGCAATGAAGCCTCTGGAGCTATCACGTATTTGTTGGTCGAACAGATCGGGTAGATTACCGTGGCCCTAGCCCAGTACACCAGATGCGCCGTCAGGTCGAAGATCTGCAAAGAGAAAGAGATCGACAGTTCAGCTGGAGGACGTTGTCAGATATAGAGAAGAGAGTAGAGCGACACCGACATGGGACGGCGTCAAATCAGAATCCGTGGCGAGCGTTTGCAGATTCTTCAGCGGCGAGTACTGCGTCAGCATGCGTTTCAAGGATGGTGATCCGTCCAGAGAGATGAAATCGTTGATGGATTGCACCGGACAGAGCAGCAGCAAACTGTGGTACGGTCTCAGCGACTTGATGCATCGATCTATGTCCTCCGGTTCCACGAGCTTACCCTGCAGATGCCACTGATGCACTTTCTGTGGTAAGCAGAAATTCAGTGGAATCCATCTGTTGATGCGGATGTTGACGAGGCCGGTGCCGCACAGGTCTTCGTACATTTTCTTCAGGTTCTTCGCAAGAATGCTCTTCTCGAGGATCGTAAGGAATGCGGCGTCCGGGTTACTTGCATATCCATCGTCGTGCGCGGTCATCATCACTTGCATTTCGTCGTTCACGTAACCGCATCGTGTTTCCTCGTGCTCCAGCAGTATTCCCATCAGCTTGCTCAAGTCATGGTAACATTTAACTGGAATTAGAATAGTATTTTTGATTTATATATACTCCTGTTATATAAAACTTAGTTTAAACACTTGACAAAATAATATATATGAATATGAAGAACCTCATAATAAAGGTAATAATGGATCATAGGACCAAACTATGACCTAAATAAGATGCTAATGTTATTCTGGTAACTCCTAGTTTTTCTTTCTTTATGTATGTATAACAGATGGTTGCTTTGAATATTTATCAAACTATTTTACCTAAGTATTATTAATTAATTCACATCAAAAAAATATGGAAATTGACTGATATACAAAATCATAATAAAACTTATTAAGTTGTACAACTAACAATAGTAATACTTTAGGAAAAACTTAAGCATCACAATTAAATTAATCTATTGAACTGTTTAATTTCCTTTAAATCTTACCAACTGAATGAGTTGCCAGAGCTTGTAGTGCAAAGACCACATTTATCAGTAAACATCCAGATGTATCCAGCTGCTTCTTCCTCAACTGAAGCAACGTGGGATGACTGACGAAACGGACATCGTTCACTTTCAGTTCGAATTTCCTATTGCACAGCTCCGGTTTTACCGCAAACAGCGACGAGAGTACCTCGTCAGTGAATCCCGTCAGCTGACATTTGTTTATGTTGGAACGTGGCTGTGGTATGGTCTGCAGGGAATCATCAACAATGGGCAAGGTGTAGGGATTACGACGACGAGCATTTGATGGTTCGTTCTTCTCTTGCATGTGAAATGGATATCTGAAAAGCAGTCTGTCCCCTTTGCTGTCCGACTTAACCAGTATGATGCTCAATGGGTTAACCTCCATCTTTTCAGCATCGAATCAACTCTTGCCATATACTAAATTTAAACCTATAAGTTTAATACATACATCAAAGAGCAACAAAATGAAAGTTACTTACCTCAACATATATCTATGACAATAATAACAACACAGCAATAAATATTGTAGAAGATCAGCCAATGTTTGGGTTCACTATCAAGCAGGATTCTGCACGTTTACAGCTATCAAGCATCATCCGGTTGTCGTAAATAGACTTTGGTTTTTGATTAATCTGCTGCAAGATTGCAGATTACCAAAGACAACAGCTGATGACCACGAAGACATTGAATTTAACGAGTATATTGAGTTGCCTAAAGTACAAAAAAATATATCGTCGCATTGTATCGGTTAGAGAAATGGAACGCATTATCGTATATTACATTTATATGGGGAAAACGGTTTCACTATACGAGTACAAATCCGAACATTTTGGAACGGATTATGCTCGTTAAGCGAGGTTCCACTGTAAAAAGTGACGGATTCAAATTTCAGCAAAATTTAACAAATCTATTATATTTGTTGAGACTGGTGACTGTGACTACAATCATTGAAAACAAGAAATTTGAAGTAATAACAATCGTGCATTTACAAGGGAATACTAGCTTGAGCATTAATACGAATTTCCAATAAGACTAATAGTAACAAGTTTTAATAGTGTGGATTTTTTATTTTTTTTTGATTTAATGGAACTCAAATATTAGCAGATATTTTTTTAAATTCAGCTTGCAACTTATGTGCTCAATTTTTTTTATAAACTAGAAATTTATTAAATAATTTTTGAATGCATCGTACAATTATTTAAATAATTTTTTTTTTAAATTCGAATGGAATTTTAGGCAATCGACAAAAATATTTTAGCATAGTTTACATCAAAATTATGTTTTTATTTATTTATATTACAGAGTATTAGAATAAATCTATAAATATACAATGCAGCACTAACAATAGAAGATGAGGTGATGGCATCGTTGTACGATGAATGAATACAAAATTTGGGCGATCTGAATTGCTAAGCAAGTAACAGTTTTATCTACCAAAAACTAAATTATATTATAATTGTAAAATAAAACTACAAATTCCAAAAATAATTTAGAGTTGAGGATGTGGTGGAGCGATAAAAAAAAAACCGTTGGTGAGAAAATTGTGAGAGCCGCAATCGGAATTAGATGATAAACATATACATTTAATTCTGCGTACGTTCAGATCGTTCGTTCGCTGATATGATGATGTCGTCCTCGCTTATAGAAAACAATATAATGCGTTGGAACTTACAGCTGTTTGAAAAAATGTTTTTTTTTTTATTACTTTGTAGAGTTTCTACTTCACGAATGGCAAATGGTCTTCCCGATTCGTCCAGGAAATGCCACGGTGTTGATTGAGTGAAGCCTGCAGATGGATCCATATCTTTTCCATCTCTCGTCTGCCCCAGGATCCGGTCGTCTTTGCCTCTGCGATCTGAAGAAGAAAAGGGGCGACGCTTCGGCGACTATGAGCGACGTCGCAAGGAGAAGCAGAATTAAGAAATGCTTTGTCGTCGTCATGGCTCTATTCTAAACTAGGAAATAGTTTTGTCACTATTTTGCTATTTATATGAAAATGTGAAGAAGAAAAAGAGGTATCCCCACTCGGACGACGACTAATGTATCTACATGAAATATGTTTAAGCACGCGTGCAGAAGATTAAAAACTGGTGAAAATGTGGCGAAAAAAGTATAACGTAATTAGACGGAAACTATAAAAGTTGTTGGCTCTCCTTCATGTTCTTTCTAATGTCGTCTAATTGAGTGCGCTCTATGAAGCGTGCAATTAAAAAAAAGCGCTAAGATCGAGATTGGAACGACGCATAAATGAATTATTCGAGACGCGCGCTCGATCCGTCGGATCCAGAGAGGAATAATCGCCAGGCGATTAAAACACAAAAAAATCAGAGAGTTCATGTTCAATAGTACGCGATCTGCCAAGGCCAAGACGATGCTGACGATGGTGATGAGTAGTAGATGATGATGTACAATGTAACATAATTTTTCACGCACATAACATTTCCTCATTGCTCAGACTGCGAATGCGAAAACGGCGGAGGCAGTAAATCCCCGCGCCGTGCAGATGTTACAAACTAGGGTGGTCCGACGACCGCCAAGGACATTTCCATTGAATAACAGTACCAGATAATAATGGCACAAAACCATATCAGGTTTTGTAAATAGGTTGGGGACATATCCATATCTATATGCATGCATACTTAATATATATATATAAAGGAGGAAGCGGACGCGATACCAAAGGCAGTCTCGCTCAAATCCTCCCGCTGAACCAATTAAATTCATTAGTCGAAGAAGACTCCGGCGAGAAGTAGTTCTTCGATCATGAAGCTGTTGCACGCGCTCCTGCTGTTAGCTCTCTTCGTCTGCTCCTGCTGCATCATCTCGGAGGCATCGGCGGATGCTTCGCCCTTCTTCAATCTGCTGTACTCGAGTTCCCGCAAGAGGAATCGCGGAAGAAGCTACGGAGGAGACAGCAACGGCGGTTCTGGAGGCGGAAATCGGTACGCGTCCATATGCAGAATTCACGCCATCGATTCCCTCGCTTTCCCTGGGAGTATCGGAAGACCCATCTGCCCTTACTAACTGGATCCGACACACTCATAATATTTCGTAATGTAAGACTCTGCAAATGTACATAATAAAGTTACAAATTTGTGCCATTTCTTGTGTTTTTTTTTTGTTCAACTTAATTGCACATTAGTTTTGCTCAAAATTCGCAACAACACGTACACAGCTTTAATGGCAATTATATTTAACGTTTACAAAATGGTATTGTTCATTATTTTTTCTTTCCGAGTTTGCTATAGTTTATAGTAATATTTTTAGAAATTTATCATTCATGTAATTTATTGAACCTAATCTTCAGGTAAGTACAATATAATTATAAAAATTAATGTTATAAATATTTAAAAAATATTAACAACTAAATATTTCTGAATCCTAGCTGACTAAGAAAAATGTACTAATTTGTTTATAAAGTTACAGAAAACACAGTTTTTATCACAATCTGAAGACTAAAAACTGAGTTTTCTATTTAATTCAAATCTTGCGTTAATTTTGGTACACCCTTTAATATAACGTATTGTTATTTGAATATGAAGTATAAATTTGTTAATTTAAATTTATACATCATATTGTTTAAGAATATTAATTGATTTTATCAATTTACCACAGTTTTCTTTGAAAATATATATACAAAATATATTGGGCAAATTGCAGATCCAATGTCATACCAAATAAAAAAAATAATAAATACATTCCCTTAAGATTTGTAAAATTTAATTATAATATTGTTTGATTTGGACAGAAAGACCTATGGTCAATATTTTATTGTTATATATTTTGTTTTTTTTGAGTATATATTATGATTTGCTACAACAAATATTATTATTATTACTTGATTTAAAGAAAAAAATGTTTTCGAAATAACGAAATAAACATAATTCATCGTATATTTTAAAATCTCTTTTTTTCTTGCTGGGGAAAGACCTACGGTCAATGGCCTGCTGCAATGATTCGTGGATTTTTTATATTTCACATTATCATTTTTTTAAATACAATGAATCGTAGTTAATACACCTATTTTTTATTTTTAAAACATGCAATTATGTTTATTATTTCACTAAAAATACTGATTATGTCAATAATCATATTAAGAAAAACATAAATAAAATAATTAAAATTACTAATTACAACTAAGTAATGCAAATGGCTATTGACCTTAAGTTTTTCAGTAAAATTTAATGTTTACATTAATTACCTAGCATAGTGCGCAAAATCAGTTCGCATAAACCGCACAAAATAAAATTTGACTGTAAATAATATTGCGTACTATTTTATTAGAATTTATTTGAATTTTGTTCAATTACAATTTAGTTCTTATTTACATTTTCAAACCGGACTTTAATGATTTCGGACTGATCGAAGCAGCAACATTATTATATTGATGTAATTGAATTAGTTTTCTAAAAAAAATCAAGAAGATCGGTCATTATGCAACGTAAATAATAAAAATAAATGTTGTAGTTTTGACTTATGTATATTTATTTACCTGAAAAATGTGGAATATTCGAATATAATTAAAAATATACAATTTATAAAATATAGTAAGCTTGTGTTTCGATAATTGACAAATAGGGAAATCTCGTTTTTTTTATAATTTAAAGTCTGTAGGTGGTACCTTGTCAATTAAAAAAAGTACCTTACTGTTAATTAAACTTTTAAGAATAATTTTTTAATGAAATTGAGTTAATCGGAATAAATATAGTATACACTTTGACCAGCCTAGATTATTTTTCATTTTAGATTTTTATTTCTTTCTGTCTTGTTCAGAATTTTTATTATTTGGTTGTCATTATTGTTATTATTATGTATTGATTTATAGGATGTAATTTTTGTTGTTTATAATTGAAGTCTGGTCAATAAATATTATTATAGTATATTTATTATTATATGTAAAATGTTAATTTTACTTAACAATAATGCGAATAATGATAAAAGATCAAATTTATTTCAAAAAACCGTTGATAGAAGAGTTTTTTAGAAAAAAGTTTGAGAACCTCCGAATTTTAGCATTGTAATACAAGTTGCAGCCATACAAGCGAAAAATAGATTTGGTTGTCGTAAATTACATTATACCACATATTTTTTGTGTGCAATTTATATCAACCAGCATCCGAAATTATATATGTAGATGTAATTAGCAATAAAGTTGCGGTTTGGTATTTGATAAGTTCGAAAAATTCCAATATTTATAAATGCATCCTAAAATTTTTCAAATATTCAAAAATAGCGACATAGATATCACGCAACACACGTACATTTTCCTAACCGAAATAACTACACCATTTAGTCGCCTGTATAACAAAAATCCAATACAAAAAAAAATAGTTCGAACCGCTAAAACCAACAAAACTTTATGGAGGCCGATAAATCCGAAATGGGTAGAAAAAGGGCCAAAAGAGATTTATATCAATTATTATATTAAAAAAAAACTACACCATTCGACTCACTTGTGCTGGACCGTCGAGAAAAAAGTAATGGCTTTGAATATCCAAATAAAATAAAATTAATAATAACAATGTTTATGAAAACAATTATATTCATAAATACAAAAATTGTGTCAACTAACGTAAAAGGGATATTATTAATTTATTATAATAAATATTATTATTTGATTTGTATATTAATGCTGTTTAGATTTTAACACTGTAAGAGGAAAAAAATCAAATTTGATTTGTTTGAACCTAATCAGTTGATTATCACTGAATCAGCGTGGTTACACATTGTAATTCAGTTTCAACGCTTTCGAATATTGTAGAAATCTTCAAAATCCACAGAATTATCCCATGAAATATTTTCCTTACATGAATCATTAATTATTAAAATGGATAATTCTTTTTTTTGAAGTTCCGATGTTTGCTTATTTAAACTTTTATAACATTCATTAATTTTATGCATTAATATAAAAAAAACAATCAGAATAGATAAAACTTTAAATAATTTAGTAATATTTATTGTAACAAACATAAAATTCCATGAAATTAACAAAATGAAGATCACTTTAATAAATTTTGTTCGAAAACCGAGGGTGCTTTGAATTCGATGCGTTCCACTGTATATTTATATCAAATTCCTCAATTTGGGATAGATCCGATAGATCTACAGAGTTTGCTGCCTTCAAGCGATAAAGATTGAAACTTTCAAATTAATCATTAAACATTTGTACAGTGGGGTGCCTAGATACTAGTGTCGTTATCAAAACTCAATATTAATAATATATTGCTAATTATTCCTACTAATTGATATTTCAATAAATCTGTCTCATATACTCATTAGAAAAAAGTAAAGCGATTGAATAGAGATTTGTAAACAGTCGCCGCTGTCATCATAACCTGGTAAGTCAAGAACTGTCTATTAGTTAAAAGTCAAAATTTATAGTGAAAATTGTTCTCGATTTGCAGTTAATATATACGAAATGACACCAGAGAGGGTAGAAGAGGAGCCCCTGGAGCTGGATTGGCTACAGTTACACAATGAGATGAACCGCGCTGCAGGTGTGGAGACCACCAAGGAGAAGCTGTTCCGCAAGATCAAGGAAAACCCTTTTGTACCCATAGGTGAATGTTTGTAATAAAGTGATTGTAATAATTAATTGAATATCTGTTCATAGGTTGTTTGGCTACAACTATGGCTTTATGCTATGGTCTTGTATCTTTCAAGAGAGGTGATACTAAGATGTCTCAGTACATGATGAGATCGAGGGTGGCTGCTCAAGGCTTCACTGTGGTTGCACTGGTTGCCGGATTAGGTCTGACTGCAATGAAGAATCCTTAGAGCATAATTGTTATATATTTACAGTGAAATGTATATACGAGTCATTATTAATATTATATAACCTATTAAATTTTTGTAAATATTATATAAATAGTGGAAATAAAATACTGTATATTTACAAATAATTAGTTGCAAATTAATTAAAAAGTGTATTTTATAATAGAGACAGTAAATTTGTTGACTTATTATAGTTAATAGATACTATAGTTAATTAGATCCTATTATAACGATGTTTCATGCAGCAATTAAGGCCGTACTTACCCAATTTTAGCGGATCGCCCATGTGTCACTTGCGGTTACGAATTTTCCAACTGAAACTCTAAAGGAAATTGAAAATATAAACAACTGATTTTAAGAGTACTAATAAATAAAGTTTATATACTTAAATAATGGTTGTATCGTAGTGGAAACAATACCCCCGGTCCTTGAATTATATCATTAAACCACTTTTTGCAGGATGATTCTTTATAATAAATAAGATGTTGTTTTATACTTATAGGTCTGTTATAATATTCATGACATACAATTGTTCATGTTTTTGTACTTTTCTGAGGTTTTTTATGTGTATTTAGTTTGAATAATATTTTGACAAAATTTGTTTTGCTGAATCTGTAATTTTGCTACTTTATGCAGTGTGGTATCTCCTCATAAACTTAAGCCAAACGTGACTTTCGTATGCTGTCAAGTTTAACAAAATAGGTAAATCTGTTGAAGCTGGTTGAAGCATTCTCCAATTAAGTCTGTAACTTCTCTTATTTTTCAAATAGTTCAAAATCCTGCTGCGCGTCAATGACCCAACAATAACCTGGAGTAAATGTTTATATGAAATTTTGTTATGAAGAAGATTTATCTCCTTCCGAAATGATTAGATCTTCTTGCTACTTATTCAGCTTGAATAATTTTATTTTGCTCTGCCTTCAACTCACTCAGAAGCTGTCGAATACCCAATAAAGAATAATTGTAAATGCTAAAAATTGTCAAATTCAAAATGTGACTAGTACCAAATTTGACAAGTTCTGAAGTTCCTATGCAATTCACGTTTGCCATTCTTTATAATATTTAACTATTTGTTCTCGCAAAGTTAAACTATTTGGAATGCCGTGTTTCATATAGTAAATTAATTAAATGTATCCAAATTTAAATTAGAAGTAATTAATTAAGATATATTTTATTATGTAATTTATATTTTTATAATTATATAATTCCTTGGTATTACAAATGCAAGTAAAATTTTAAAGAAATTGAAAGCAAAAATGTAATAATTTTGATTATGATAATATAATGATTGTACAAGGTTTATGTATCTGTAATAATATGTATTATTGCCTCAATATATCTTTACAATTAAGTGGCCAAACGTCCCGTTTTTGGTGGGACAGTCATGATTTTTAACAATTTGCCTCGTTAGTCATTTAACAGCAAAACAATGAAATATACGATTTTCCTGTTTCTTCGCCCGGAATACATTTGGCCGGCGTCTCTTGACACCTATTTGATAGTTTTCATTGTAGTACATTTAAGGAAATATAGATTTAATAATTTTTTAAAGGAAGATCTTTGTCTTTTTTTTTTTGCAAAATTTGAGAAGTAGTTCATATTGGGTGTAACAACAGTCCGTTTGTATTTGAAACCTTTTATTCAAAGAGAACTACATTCTAAAAAAAGACTTTATTTTAAATATATTGTCCATTATTTTGTATCACTTTCGCCCAACGTTCAGGCAATTTCATAAATCCATCTCTTCAGAAGCCTCCGTCTTTACGATTGAAAAAGCTGTCAAGGTGTATTTTAATGTCATCCAAAGATTCCAATGCGGAACAAATGGTAGTCGGATGGTGCGATGTCTGGACTATATGGAGGATGAGGTAGTATGTCCCATGAAAGACATATCATTGTCATGTTAAAAACATATTCGTCGTTTATTAACCAATGCAGATCGTTTTTGAGTAAGATCTGTCACAAATTATCAAGTTGTTTACAGTACTTGACCGAATTGATAGTTTGATTATTCGGTAGCTTATAATTGGTAAAACCAAATGTACAACATTAATTTCATTGGAAGTAGGCTACTCTTTGGTCATGCCTGGGGAGCACAACCTTTTTTAGATCAAGATCTACGGTGCACAACATTGTTGTAAAGTATCAATCATTCATCTCCAGTCCGCTATCTCACGAAGTGTAAAATATGGATTTTCGTTCACTACAGTCATAATCAAGGCCGTGTCAGTTGTTATAGGCCGCCCGGAGCGCTCCCACCGAAAATAATACAGCATGAAATTCCGAAAATAGAAAAAGTCACAAACTAGATAGTAGAATTGCATAAACTTTGCACTAAAATATAGCCACAACTGTACACTGCAACTATTGTTATCAAAAACTCCCTCCCGTCCAACTATTCACCGTCCACTGGACATAAACGTGTGCACACCAAAATACAAACAGACTTATGTAACAACCCAATAGTTTGAGTCGTTGTTTGAGGCTATGAGACTGATGATTGTAAGGGGAGATTCTTGATGAATTTCATATTAAAAAAAAGAAATTGTTTAAACTTTCTAACTGTCCACATTCCGTCAGACTGACACCAACCAACTTTGAATAGATGGATAGGAGACAGTTTGTGACTCGAACTAAAGCGACTTATTTTAACTATGTCATTTACTAATCATATGTTTGTTTTTTAAACCAATGAATTATACTGATAATATAAGTTTTGGAAATAATTGATGCCATTCGTTTAACAAACAATTTCATACTGGGACTGTAAATTTTAATTGTACTGAATTGGTCTCGTAGCCTTGTTTATAGAAATTTTCCGCCTCTTCATTACCTCTGATTTTCGTGTATACCCAGTATATGCTGGCGGTAATATTTCTTGTAATATTTCAATTTTTTCTAATCAAACCCAGCAGTTTGACTTGCTATCGAAAGAAGATGCATTGATTGATTCAATTGCACTAGCCGAGTCTGAAAGATGGTAACACTAGGAGGTAGAAATTCAGCTTATATGGGCAGTATATAACTCGGCTGTCGAAATGGTAGAATTATGGGGAATCTTAGATGGTTGATCTATTAGTGTAATGGTTCTTTTTATGAATGTGTAGAATATACTGTTGATCTTTGTTTCTTTATTTTCCTTATGATGTTGGAATTTGAATACTAGTACTTTCGCAATTAAATGTTCATATAATTGTATTTATATGTTTATGTTAAAGTGTTCTGTTTTGAAATATGTTTTTTTTTTCATAAAATTTAGTTTCTTGAATTTCTTTTTAATTTCAATCACGTTTTTCTTAATTACTCGAATGCTAATAATTAAACGAAAAGATATTTGAATTTAAAATTAAATCAATTAAAACATATAAGTTACACAATTATAATGTGTTTTTCAAATTATAGTCAGTAATGGTTCAAGGAAAATAACATTCTTAGAAAAAAATTGAGAAACAATTATAAACGCAATTCTTCAATTCCATTATTAAATGTCATTAATCATGACATGTCTATTAGACGTGATTGAATTCGATGGTGTAATTGACGATTTTTCTATAGAAGAATATATTGAAAAAAATAACAGGTGAAATAATAAGTTTCATTTTATAAAATAATATCAAATAATAAAATGAATGAAAATCTTAGTTTATATAGAGTTTCGAAACCAACTGTCAATATTCATTATATTGGTATTATTTACATAAATAACTAAATGCTGAACAGACCAGTAAAAACAAAACATGATCTTGACGAAGCTCTGGAGCACCTAACGCAGACAATACTTCTGCTTACCACTCCACACCGGAACACAGGAAACGTATAACATTTGTCCACTTTATATTAAACGTTTAATTTCAGAAAAACGCAGACTTAAAAGAATATGCCAAAATAACAGACTCCAAGAAGATAAAACAAAGTTAAACAGAGCTACATCTAAATTGAAAAGGCTGCTTAAAAGTATCAAAAATGAAGCAGTAAAATAGTACTTACTAAACCGAACGCCCACCGAAACTAACAGATTATTCCTTGTGGAAAGCTAAGCCGACGGCAAATTGGGCAGGAACACGTGATGAAACAGAATTGTTCGCAGATCATTTTAGAACAATCTTTAATTGTTTTGATCACTCAAATATTCAATACTATACTACGTACAGGTTACTTTCCAGCGCAGTGGAATGTCGCACAAATTATAATAATAGCTAAACCAGGGAAACCTGCCGAAGAAATCAAGTCGTACTCATCAAGTCAAAAGTTTTCGAAAAACTTCTTGCTAACCGATTGCATCCTATTATAGCGTCAAATAAGCTGATACCAGACCATCAGTTTGGCTTTTATTGCAAACACGGCACAACTCTAGCACTTGCTCTGGCAAGTAAACAGAATAGTAAATACCATCTACCAAGACCTGAAAAGTACAATATACTGTTTGGTTGCCTTTTTAAACATATCGCAAGCTTTTGACAATGTTTGGCATCTCTGACTATTATACAAAAAAAGAACTTGCCTATAATTATTTTAAAATAATAAAATCATACCTCGATAATAGAATATTTCAGGTAAAAATAGACGACGAAAATACCGATTTATATCCAATAGAATCAGGGGTGCCACAGGGAAGTGTTTTAGGACTACTGCTTTACCTTCTATACACGGCAGATATTCCTAAAACTAACAATACTACAATTGCAACATTCGCTGATGATACAACAATCTTGGCATCAGATGAGAATCCAGCAGTAGCATCCGAATATCTACAGGAAAATTTAGATAAGCTACAAAATGGAGAATAGCAATTAACGAAATGAAATCCGTGAATAACACATTTACGCTAAAGAAAGACACCTGCCCAACTGTAAGACTTAATGGACAAGATTTGCCCAAATCAATAAAAGTCAAATATCAAGGCATACATCTCAACAGAAGACTCACATGGAACGATAACATTCAGGCAAAGAGGGAGCAATTAGAAATAAAGTTTAGAAAACTCTACTGGCTTTTAAGGAAAAGGTCGGAATAAACAGTGGAAAATAAATTACTTATATACAAAGTAATACTGAAACTAGTATGGATGTATGGTTTCCAATTGTGGGGTGCGGCCAGTAAATCGAACATACAAATTATACAAAGGTTCCAATCAAAATGCCTAAGAAATATTATTAGGGCTCTATGGTTCATCAGGAATGAAGATCTTCATATATATATGGTGAAGATGGTATTAATGAAGATCTTCATATATATATGGTCGAGGGTACAATACCAACATTTAGTAGTAGATACCAGTAGAAACCACTAAATTTCATAATAATGGTAACTGTCATTATAATG